CTACAATTATAATATTTGTTGAAACATTAAAACTGGTCTTTATTCAAGTACTGTTACTAGTTGCAAAGTAAATTGATTTATAATAAAAAATACACTGATGATTCTAGAATCAAATAACAAATATTGTATCTGCCCGCTGTTCTTTAACAAAAATATTTTAAATTTGTTGTATTTCCAATTTGAAGCGGAAGTTGGTTGTAAAGTTTAGGACCCAAGTATTGATATAAATGACGAAAAGATTGTGTACCTATTTACTTTGGGTGATTTGATATATTATTTATTTTCAAAGCTTCTTGCACTGTAAGGATAATTAGGACTTACACTTTCTCTGTTTACGCTCCGGATAAAGATCTATCTCAAAACCTTACAAATAAAAATATGTTGGACGAGTAAAATGCATAACTTCTGGTGGAATCGAAAAGAGATAGTTCGTTTAGATTTTTTCACATGTTTTCTACCTTTGCACGTTTTGAAATGATATTGGACAATTATCAATTATCAATTATCAATCATTGAGATGGGGACGCCACCTAAATGTGGTTCAATATTCAACTGAAGGATCAGGTTTTATATTGCAATTTAAATTCGAAAGTGGCCTGGTAATTTGTTGATACAACATTAGTTTGGTAATAAGTTGCACTATAAAAATATTCTGGAATCAATGGTGTAGTCAATGAGGCGTGACTAATGGGATTTACTCACAGGGTCGACCCAAGCATTGTCTTGTTCAACCCTCGTAAGTAGGGGATTAGTTTCTTGCCCGGGTCGGACCGAGGAGCGCAAGCACCTCTGCGCTCCTTGGTCCTACCCCCTACGAATTCTTTATCCAAGGGGTTGACAGTTTTACGACTTGCGCTCCTCTGTCCGTTTCCCAATGGGTTAAAGTCATTCCACACTAAAAATGTATCACCCTACTTCCAAGCGATAGGAGCATTACTGCTCTCGCATGCCAAACACAACAAAATGTCAGTAGATTTATTTTTCTAGATTTATTAACTACTAAAACCACCGGTTTCTTAATCCATGATTAACTAATAAACATAAACAATCACAGATTCCAGTTTTGAAATGTCAAAGTGTGTACTGAATTCTCAGTACCAGATAACTATATTCAGAGATTGTCAGGATAGCAAAGTATGTCACAGTGTTTTCAGGATCAGACAGCGATCTTCTCATTGTCAGGACTGTAATCATTCAGCCTACGTAAATCGTACCCACGTTGCGTTGGTGTCTGTTGAATCATTAAATCATGCGATTTCCCTTAGAAATCACCACAGTAGGTGTGAAGTGAGCAGATTGCAATCTAAACTGACCGGTTAGATTTGTGAGGGGAGTGCATTTCAACCAGTTTATGATCTTGATTATTTTCTTCTTGCCTTTAAGTTATATTAGACTGGGACGGTGTTGTACTGTAATCCAGCTATGAGGTCACGAATTGTGGATATTTATAGGCATGCACTGTGGATGCAATGCTCCCTGGTGTGGATTAACGTCCGCACTAGTGAGTACTACGACTATCCGCAGTACTATGCTGATAATTAGACCAATTAGTTAATTACAAGGAAAAATTTGGTTCGGATTCCACTATAAACTGTAGGTTCCTTAGTTGTATGGGCTATTAATTAACAGCTGTGTCTAAGGAACATGTCGGCCTTAGTCACTAAAGACTACAAGATCGTGCCACTCATCCCACACTCATACTTCAATCATATTTGGGTTAAGATACGCACATAGTGGCGTCCCCACCCCATCTTAAAGAATTGATAATTGATAATTGAATTGATAATGGACAACTTTAAAATAGCTTAATATCCTAAATAGGCTAATTCTGTTCCTATTCATAGAGCACTATTGCGTTTACGTTTTCATATAATCTGAATTTGGAATTTTCATAAATTTATAAACACTTCGAGTATTTTTATTTTTCTTAAATAGGCAGTTTAGCCCCGCAGAAATAAGAATATAATTATTTCTCAAAGTTCTAGTAACAAAACATTTCGAATCACTTATTAACTCTCAGAAACGAGATCTTGTCAATAAAAGAGCCGACATTATTAAAATTTTCCATATGCAATTGAAGTTAGGTTAGTTTAGGTAAGCTTGTGTTAGGTTAGGCAAGGTTATGTTAGGTTAGGTTTAGTGGCTGGTCGTATTTTTACCAATGTTGGAACGTTCACACTCGTCGAAACCCATAGGTATTCTGTTATAATATTGTTTTTTAGGAGTGGGAACGCCGAACAACGAGTTCCTGGCACAACACCCAATTGTTAGGTTAGGTTTTCTTGATGTTCGTATAAATAAAAACTTAGTTGCAGTCTTCTTCTTGAACAACGTCTCCAGAGCCGTGTACATTGGTGCTTTGAATGTGGGTAGTTCGCGACCGGTCCGCCCTCCAGTAGATGCTTCCGATATCACGGTCGCCCACGGTCGCCCACTGGGCGGCTAAGTGAATCACTGGGCGGCTACTTGGGCAACTCACCTTGTATGACCTGCGGAGGTTATCGTTATATTGCTTCTCGGGTTTGAGTAAGTCCCATAATCGGACAAGTCGACAATATCTAAACTCAACCTGTATGGATTACGTAAGGGGAGGAGCGAAGTGGAATTTAAACCTTAAAGTTGTAGTGCAAAGATCAATTTTTTTCAACTAAAGGTAATTTAAACACCTAGAAAATCAAGAGAAAAATCTCGGACTTAAATGACAGGAAGGTAGTAAAAAATTAAAAAGAGTATACTTCGTGTGTCTACTTTTTAAAATTCTGAATACAAAATTCCGTTTTGTAGTTTCGTAGCAATATCCACAAATATTAAAACAGAAGCAGTATGGATCGTAAACATAAACAATTGCTAGTCTGAATCCTATACTAATATCATTAACATATGTTTTAGACAGTTCCGATTAAGCAATGTTAAATAATGTTCGGGCCAGTAACATAATTTGTTTTTGTTTTTTATCCATACCGTGCCTGTTCTAGTATTCGAGGTTTTTAGTACTGGATTCGAGCCAGTGATGTCATTTGTTTATGTTTATGGTCCATACCGTTTCTGATCTAATATTCGTGGCAGTGTCTATTATGTATTATAAAGATTATGGCCTATATTAAAGGAACTTAGTTCCTTTTCGAACCCCTTTTTTTACCAATAACACTCCCAATTTCTTGTTAAAAGTTATTGTAAACCATAGTAAGTAGTTCTTTGGTCATTAACTCTTCTGATCGAGATTTTTTACGAGTGTTTATTTCTAGGAGTAGATCAAATACACAAACTACTATTTCTATTAGAATGACAGGCCAGAACATCCGTTTTGATTGACAGCTTAGTTTAGGGAATTCCTCCCTCCACGATTCTCGAAGATTCCTCTCTGGAAGCTTTACCGACCTTGCGAGCGTCGTACCACCCTTCATATTGATTTGGCGCTCGAACTTCTATAAATAGAAACATGCGGTTTGTCAGTCAACCCCAAAAGAAAGTTTATTTGACTTTGACGAGATGTTTTTATTTTCTACGTGTCTGGAAACTGCATATTCTTTCGTGTTTAGCAATAGCTTATATTAAACTGCCATTCAATAGATGAGTTGATCATTACATTTTGAATACAATGCAACAATGAAAACAGCTGATCATGTATAAATGTAATAACCGCTGATATGATAATGGAACGGTTTTTAATTAGAAGGACAATTTTTAAAACACCATTTTATGATCATTCAAAACAATATGTTAACATTACTTTAGAATTGTCCAAACTAAACTTAGAATTAAAATCAGATTAGGATATTTACATTTAGAATTTGATTTAGATGCCTCTACTTAGGTATTAGTACAGTAGGTATGTTTTAACAGTAGTGCATGTTTACATTATTTTTAAAATAGTAATACACATAGGTGAAACTCAGGTTTTTATTTAAACCTCTTGTTCATGTTCATCCTTGGTTGTATAGCTAACTTGGACTTTATGGTGTTAAAATTTAGTATCTTATATTTTAAAAATTGCATTGGCGTGTTTGTTTTCAAAATATCGAAACGAACTAAGAACATTTTGAATCCTAACTTTTGAAATTAACTAAACAGAGAAAATGACGAAGAAGAAAACATTAACCAGGTACAGTAATAATAGACTTTGGCGAGTTTAGAGTATTGTTAAAACGTCTAAACGTCAGCTGTTAAATCAATCAGCTGTGCGACGGCAGTTAGGAAACTGCAGGGTCATTGTGATAGGCCAACTTCGACTCCTACGTAGAACCTTTTTTCGACCTCGGCCTTGTTCTAGTGTTTGCTATTTGACTAACCCAAAGTTCAACTACTATTCAACTAAGAGGTCCTTGGACCCAACAGTCTTAAAAGGTTAAAAGTTTTGCAGGCTAATCTGATAAATTAAAGTTTAAGTAGGTAGTTTCTTTGTTGCTACTTCAAAAATGTATAACAAAATGCTATGAAGATCTTAAATACGTGCTTTTTATGCCATGGGGGCAAACGTTTGATATTGTTAAGTTATTCTATTTGCTTCAGGCACTTTAGCAATATTTTAACAGACCCAAAATATTTTACTAAATTCAAATTATTTATTTGTCAAATATATGCCGATTTATTTGAAGAATGCATTTGACAACTGTACACCAGTCTATTAGACAATTGTGCTCGCCGATTTTTTTACCAGAATGTGGTATACTTGAGGACTAAATACCGTTGTTTTAACTTAATACTAAGCTCTTTGATAACCAAAATTCACACTCCTTTCTACTTTCATAAACTATTCATGTCGTTTATATATTTTTTTCAGAGAGTGTAGTGAGTGATTTGTTCCGTTGGTTCTATGGTAGCCACTTTGTCTCTCTAAATGTCTTAAAACAAAGTAACATCGAGAGTCTTTATATATACATTATCCATTCCACAAACTACTGTAAGTTGTAATGTGGATTTCTCTACATATACACTATCCATTCCACAAACTATATGCTGTAACCTGTATATGTAAGTGACAGGAAGTGTTGTTGTTGCAGAGATGGGCGTGTTCACCCAGAGACCCTGGACGCCTACAAGGAGGCGAGGCCCCATAGCTGCAGAGTTCGGCAGTCCGGGCCCTGCGTGTGTGGCGCTACCCACACTCGTAGGTTAGTATAACCCTACTAAAACAGTAGCAGTAGCAAGAAAATTGTTTACGAATCAAGTAAATTGTCAAGGAGATTAAACTTGATAGAACGAATCTGTGTACTGAAATTTTTCCAAAAACACAACTGTTTACCCAATCTTTCAATCAAAGACAACAATAAAACATTGATAACCAAGAAATAATCAAGATTACTGCAATCAATGTTCTACTTTTCCCCATTTAGATGAAAATTTACTTCATGGGCATTGTATAGCCTCCGATAATATTTAAGACAGTGTACATGTCACACGATATAATTTAGTTTGGGAAGGTTTCTTATTCTTGCACAATACCTGCTTGAAAAATTCAAGTAACTATGGGTTCAGCACCAAAATTGTGCAGTCCCATGTCGTATGAAATTATATTTGTGCCATCTCCTGTGGTGAGATTGTTCTATTTAAATGTACTTTTTGATTTATAAATTTAAGGGTCCAAAACAGACGATGCTTTAATAGAATGTCAATGGCCGAGAAAATACAATTAAAAGGTTCAGTGTGAAGATGCCATAAAATTGGGCCTAAAAATTTTACTATACAATTATCATATTATATTTTGTCATTAATTTAAATACAATAAACACTGAGTTTTTTATGTTTATGTTCCAGGCCAGGGGGTGACTCCGGATTCAAAAAAAGGTCGAGCCCCAGCCTTCAGCTTTGGGAGCAGGTACTTAAGTTTTTAACACAATACATAATTGATCATTTGATGTTTTATATTGAGTGAGTAATTTAGAAAGGTCAACTATCGTTGCACGATGGGTTTCTTCCCAGATTCTTAAACATATGACTAAGATATCTCTGTTTCAGACATGGTGGGAAGAACGACAGTGTAGGACCAGGCCCTGGGCAGTACAATGTCACCGGCCTCAGTGCTAAAGGTAATTCATTTGTTTGCAGTACTACATTTAGATTTTATCCATGGTAAATAATTTTAATATGAACCTTGAATGTATTCTCTACGTAGGATATGATACCTTTGTACTGTACTGGTTAAGCCCTTGTTGCTGGATGTTCCATGCACAGGCCCCCGGGCTGTGGATGGACAAACACAAATGTTAAAAGAAGCCGCTAAACTTTTTTAACAAAACTAAAAAAATATATTTTTGACTGTTCCAGGCAAGGACACACCCCCCGCCTCCACCCTTCACTCTCGCCCCAAGGACCATCTATCGGAGTCGACCCCGGCTCCTGGTGACTACAACCCAGAGAAGTCTGAGAAAGTCATCCACGACGCCTCGCCCAAGTACACCTTCGGACTCAAGACTCAAGTCGAGAAGACCAGCTCAACGCCTGGTATGTGCAGAATCTTTTAAGAATAGCATGTTTTGATGGATGTACTTGATTAAGAAAGTGATAAAAGGACATGTCTAAACAAAATAATACAAAACCCCCAATGCTGTAATAATTACGGTTTAGAATTTATCACAGTTTTTGCGATTATACCCATAAAATATCAAAGTTATTCCCACCGCTTACCCAACAATCAGGATTGTCGACTTTGGAACCAGTCCCGAAAAGACTGTAAAGTACATCATTCTGGATTGTGACAGACTTGGGGATAGGAGAAGGGCCCTGTTTGGTCTAAAGCAGCCAGGTGATGAACCAGACGCTAATATCAATCAAAAGCTCCTGCACCTGATCAAGGACATGGGTATACGTTTACCTAGTTAGTAGTAAGTGGAGCATCTTAATTGCTCCTTAATCATAACACCAATCATAAACTATCGGACTTCTTTTTTCAGCTCCCAACGTATACAACATCCCGACAGTTCTCGGGGCGACCAAGGAGGGCAACAAGAATTCGGCTCCTGCATTCAGCATTAGCGGACGACAAAAGGAGTTTGTCGATGACCGGGTGCACACCCCGGGACCTGGGGCTTACAACAATGCTAACCCGGACACCGTCAAACCTAAGAGCCCCAGCTACTCTGTCAGTTCACGATATACTCTACCTTCCGATCATTCGACCAAACCTGGCCCCGGCGCGTACTCTCCGGAGAAGGTAGGAGAAAAAGGGTATAGCGAGTATGTTACGGAAATTTTAAGAGTTCCCTCACTTTATATTTTGCTTAACTACTCGGCAGTCCAAAAAGCCCATGATGCACCTAAGATTGTAAAATTAATTGCCTGAAACAACTATATTCTGCTTAATTTTCCCCCCAAAACTTTTTTAAATCGTTTTAAAACAGTGAAATATGTGTAGCAAAACTCGTAAATGAATCCATCCCTCCCGCACCGAAGTCCAAGATGCTATAACCACTATGCTAGCAGCACACTCTATAACTATTTAACAACCCTTATCTCATCAGTGGTCATGCTCAAAGGGGTGGAAATTCTTCATTGAAAGCATTTTAATCTCATCTCTTTTTAAATTATTTTCACTTACGTTCTGCAAAAATTATAAGTGTTATTATGGTATGATGACTCAATAATGTTTCTACTATTCCTAATTGTGGTAGATTTCTCTCTTACGAGTAGTAATAAAATATAGAGTGTGGGAAATTAATTACATTACATTGATTAGTTATTTAGTTTAGTTTAGACAGTAAATAAAAAGCCATTAGCTTTCAATTGAAGAATTCTAAGACAGTAAAATATTACTAGTTTTTCTAAAATTTTATGGTCTAAAACTGAGATTTTTTACGTTGCTATTACTGTAAACTAACTCTCACCATTCCCTGAGAAATTTTCATGCTAACTTTGCGGATCGGAGAGAGGTTGGACTAAAAGGTAAATAAAAACGTTTCTCAACTATGTTGTTAAAGTATTTTGTCGCATGAATGTGTTTTTGTGTTAAATGTTTCTGTATTCAGTAGTTTTATAATTTTTTTGTTTTATAATTTATTATTTAGTTAGTAGCAGTAGATATTGGCAGTGTAAATATTAAAGTACTACTACCCTACACTTTGGTAATGACTAATTCAAGGGATTTTTTAATTGATGTGATAAAAAGCATTCTAAGATAGTAACATATTTTTAGTTTTATGATGAAGAGCTTTACTTTGATCGCTTCCAAGTTAATGAAACTTCCCAATAATCACCTTGTACAGTGACATTTAATTGTTGAATTATACTAATAATTAATTGTACTGGAATATTTTGCAAGTTATAATTATTATAATTGTGAAAAAAAACCTAATCAGCCTTTTGGTTTCTTTTAAGATATAACCTTGATAATGTAATTACATGTATGACACCATACATAATATTACATAGCACATGCATGTTCAAACTATATTGGAGCACATTTAGAACAATTTATACACTGGTAGATTATTGCAACTGTTACTTACAAGTTAGACACTAACAAAGTCCCTCCCCAGATTATCAATTCTTCTACTCCGTCGTACACCATGAGTGGACGTCATGAGGTACAAAACAGAGAAGATATTCCCGGACCTGCGGCTTATTGTCCAGAGAAGGTTTGTGAAGTTTGAATTTCAATGCAATTAATCATGTAATTTACCATGCGGCTAAAATATACATTAATTTGTCACCAACAATTAAGACCATAAAATGTCAAAAAGATCAAGAAGGTCCCTTTAAACGCTCATAATTTTTGTTTACTTTCACTTTTTACATATTTTAACACATAAAGTAGACAACTGATATTTAAATTTGCAGTAAAATTTGTTTTTAAAAGTGCAGATATTATTTTAACAAAAAGTCAATACTGTATATTGTAGCCTAGCTTAATCTTTTGGATTATAGAAACACCCTACTTCTATAATTATTTACAAAAAAATTGTGAATACAATTACAGTAGTACATTTATAGAATTTAAAATATGTATATCCATGGCTAGTGTAACTTCAGGACAGTAGTATATTACAAAATTTATGGGATACAAAATTAATTACTAATTTACACTTATTGCTAAAATCGTCCTGTTGACATTTTATCTGAAAAGTTAACCTCATCCATGTTACCTAGGGGAAAGCAAAATTAAAAACTGGTTGAAATTGAAACAGCTGATTATAAAATCATAAACAGATAAATAACAGATGACTGTTTCGTTTGTGAAACTTGATAATGTTATTGTTAAACAGCTGTAGTTAAACTACTCAAAAGTTGTGATTATGTTTCAATGGTCTTGCAAATTACAGAAGCAGCATATTTCTTTCATCTGCATTGTTGTATATACATTATTTTAATCGATATACCATAAAATGTGAGTTGTTAATTAATTGTTTTTGTTTTCAGGTATCTACAAACAACATGCCTTCATATACTATCGCAGGAAGACATCAAGTGCAAATGAAGGAAGAAGTTCCCGGACCTGGGACTTACTGTCCCGAGAAGGTAGGATAAACAATCGCGTTGAAACTGATAACCTATAGTAGTTATTACAGGGTGTTCCATAACTCTTTAGACACACTTCATCACAGTATTTGCACGAGTCACAAAGACAGCAACACATATTGAGCTGAGGGTGAATTGATCCAAAAATTTATTATTTATTCAAAGTAATGTATAAGTGTTTAACTCTTTAAAACCTCTAAAAAACATGTTTCCTTTGTAAGTTACTCGTAATATTAACTTAGATGTAGAATTTTACAATTTGTTCACTTGTACGCACAAGTAATTGCACTTCTAACAGTAGTGTTTGATGTAGATCCCTACTACTAGCACCCCATCGTATTCTATTCTTGGACGACACGAAATTCCCAACAACCGAGAAATTCCTGGACCTGGAACATATTGTCCGGAGAAGGTAAAATAAAAAATTTCAATATAAATTTGTAATTTTTTAGTACAGATATAATAAAATTTGTAAACATTTTCCTAGTTCCTCTGTGTTTTGTCGTCAAAAAAAGGTGAAAGATTATTATATTTGGAACCAGCTGTAAAATGGTCATAAAAAGTTAAAACTTGTTGATTAAATTAATGAGACAATTTCTTGCATAAAACAATTATACAAGAAGCAACCTATTTTCAATAAAAAATTAAAACAAAAAAGATTAATTATTTCTCTAATGAAAGGTTAATGAAAAATAAATCGGATGAACTTAAATTCACTGAACATTATGAAATCCAAGAAATAAAACCAGTATGAACATGAAAATGTTATAGTAGATTTAAATAGCTTCAATAGATCTACAAAAGTAGTTTTAGATGTAGATAATCATCATTCAGCCTATCAGACTATATGCGTAGACACATGGAATTTTTTAGCACTTTAAGATGTAGATCAAGTTGAGCATGCATATTTTGATATAGCTACACCACAAGTAGATTGTACCTGTAGATTTAACAATCATGCATGTGTAGATGTCCACAATCACTACACCAGCCTATACACTCGGTGGCCGCCATGACCCACAAAACAGAGAAGAAATACCCGGACCTGGCGCTTACAGTCCTGAAAAGGTAATGTCACCAGTGGTCTCTGATAATTACTTTTATGGAGAGTCGTAGTAATTAAATTAATATTGAGTGAATAACCAAGACAAACACATTACTCAATAATTTAATAGATTCTTCTAATAAATATGCAGAGGCAAAGTACATTCTTAGGGAGAGAAAACAAGCTCATAAGTTGGCAGCCCTACTTCCTTTAATTCATTGTCAAATCAGCTGATATTTGTAACCATTGTTGCATTATTCTACATGGTTTAGTGTAATTGGAAATTTACTGTGAATAAGACATAGGGTTTCTCTAAAACACAATCTATGTTTAAGATTGATAACTGCATATTAATTGAAAAAATAAGTATGCTCTATTGATCTTTACATTTTATGTAGCTAACCTGTGGTTTTAATTTGTACTAGAATCTCAACTGGAAACTAAATTTTAAACCTTTTTTTGGCATAAAAGGAATTAATTCCTTTTAATATATATCTTTTCAATACTGTACATACTTTCTATGCTCGCAAAAACATGTCAAGTCTTGCTCACAATAAATTTTCAGTAAAACTGATTTCAAACAATAATTTCAATGAGAGGGACACATTGATTCATCCTAGGGGGAAGAAGATGTTCCAGGAAAAGAATTTTATAAGCGATCCTTAAAACACTACTCGAATTCTATTTAATCCTCCCTCTAAATTTTAAGTGCACATCTCTAACCGTAGAGGTAATTGAAATAACGTACAGTAGCTGCATAACATATAGACGTAGATTGTACATAACACAGTAGTATGTTGTCTAGATGTCCACAATCACCACCCCAGCTTACACTATCGCAGGCAGACACGATCCACAGAACAAAGAGGAAGTTCCCGGACCTGGGACATATTGTCCAGAAAAGGTACGTTGAGAATTTGTCGACTACAATCCATACATTGTTGCTGACGTGTACACTTTGCTGTGTGTCTACAAAATGTCTGTTTTGGAAGGAATTTTTTTGGTGGGTACCAAAAAGGAAAAAGTTTGCATAGCTATTTTTACACTCGTTAATTCATTTCCGCACTTTACCCTCGCTCATTGCATTAGACCCATAAACTTAAGTCATCTGGCAATGAATTTTGGCATTGGATATGTTTCTTTTGGTAAAAAAACATATCTCTGACCTTCTCTCGCATGTGGCGGGAGTTTCAATATAAATCTTTCTGAACACACAGTGAATTGTACACATCGTACACCTGTGAATCGTACACAGAGCTGCAAATGGTTCCCTTGTTTCACAAATTATTCCAGTGAGTGGGGAGGAGCCTCGTTGTGTCGTAAACGCAAACTAAGAAGCTATACATACAAATAGTACTTACTCAAAAATCAATCCTCGTATGTGTAATTAATGTGTACACGGTGTCGTTTCTATTAATAATTGTTGTAATTTTCCGAACTCTAGTAATTTATAAAGAAATTTCTCTTGTGCCTATTCAGTTTTCCCGGTCCTATGGTTGAAATTAAAATTTTACTCTAATTTCAAACAGTACGTAGAGGTAGCTTAAACACAGTTGTAGTTTTGTAGTACTAACATTGGTGCATGTGTAGATGTCCACAATCACTACACCAGCCTATACACTCGGTGGCCGCCATGATCCGCAAAACCGAGAGGAAATACCCGGACCTGGCGCTTACAGTCCGGAAAAGGTAAATTTAATCTTTTCATTAAATTAGTTAACTCAAAAGCACATTTTAACTTTGCTATCTTCACAATTCAGTCTCCACTGATGTGTGTGGTTGAAATTAACTATACTTGTGAACTGGTTGGGTTAACTGACTGGTTATAGTGCTAACCTATCAATCAAAAGGTCGCCAGTTCGATCCTTAGAAAAATCAGAAGCTTGTTGATGGTTGAATAATGTAGTTTATAAAATTGACTGTGATATAATCTTACAGCGAAAAGAGCTTCTTGAAAGTGTCTACAGGGCGACGTAACTGGACTCAGACTCAGCTGTCCCTGATCATTGGATTTTGTTAATGAACCTGACTAATGAAACAGCTGATCTTATAGTCAGTAACAAAGCTACACAGATCATCTCACAACATTCTACACTCATATTTGGGTTCAAGTACGCACATGGTACTTGAACAAGTACATGGTCCCCATTACAAGTACGCACATGGTCCCCATCTCAAATAATTCACAATTTTGATTGATAGTTAAGTAAATGAATGAGGAATGCTATCAGGTTACAACTTGAATTTTGATCTATTTAAATTTTAATATTTTGTCTGAATTATTGGACATTTTGCAGATCCCCACGAACAGCACCCCATTTTACACAATTGCTGGAAGACATCAAATACCGAACCACGAGGAAATTCCAGGACCTGGGGCGTACTGTCCTGAGAAGGTAGGAGTTGTTTTCTAAACTTTCGGGTGGAATAAGTGAGTTTTTAAATTTTAGTGTATGTTAATTTTTCAGTTATGGATCAGAAGATTATGAGATTTGTTTTTTCACCATTGTGATGGAAAATGTCCGCAATAAAACTTTGAACAATAACTTTAGCTAAGCAGTATGGAACTTTCCCTGAATGCCAGGTAAAATACACATGTCAGAACTCCCATATTGCTGAGGATAAGTTAAGATGTTTATAATTTTTTACCGTGTAATTTGCATACCCCTATTCACTCGGAGAGTCTTCTCCTTATTTATAGGATATTTTACATTTTTTTAAGGTTACAAACAATTAGTACGATCTATTTTTAATTTTTGGTTTGCCTTCTGTCATTATTAATAACGTAAGAATAAAGTGCACAATGATAAATCTTCAAGAAATTTAGACACATTAAGTCAACATCAACATACTCTCCTACTACCTACTAAATGTGAAATATGAGCAAAAATTTTCTTAGTGTCGACTACTGTAATTAGGCCCTATTGTAAGTTATTACTGTACGACTCACTGTGTGTGAAGGATCTTCTCCTGTGGTGAGTTGACGACTTGTTGTGTGTACATGTAGAAGACGTAGACACGCCACAATAAGATGAGAAGTCTACTTGCAATAGCTAAAGTCAATGACACAGTTTTTTTTTTTTAAAGTCAATGACACAGTGATCCATTTCAGATGTCCACTAACAGCACCCCATTTTACTCCATCGCTGGAAGACATCAAATACCGAACCATGAGGAAATACCGGGCCCTGGCACTTACTGTCCTGAAAAGGTAGGTTCCATTTATAGTTATAAGAGAATAAATAAACGGTAACAGTATACTGACACATACTTTTTCTCTAGCATGTCAACAACCCTTATAAAAGGTAAGTGGTAACTGATATTTTATCGGTAAAATCACAAAAGTTTCAATAGTTTTTGAATTTTGAACCATAGTTTTTAGAACATTGGGGATTGTACAATTTTTATTAGATTTAGTAGAACCACTATATACTAAATTTTAGTCAAAACTGTTATAGCCGTTTTGTGAAAATCTGATTTTTCTGTTATTTTGTGGGTTTTCTATAGAAAACCCCCTAAAAAAGAAAATATACCTGGAAATACTATGCATTAGTACCCACCTATGAAATGTTATCAAAATCAGACCCAGCAACTGTGTATACATCCTCAAACACACACACTGGCATCACTTTTCTGAGTTCAGGGAGACCCAAAACGGATGTTTGGACCACACAAAACTAAAATAAAAAAGTTTTGGCATAAACAATACTTTCTCCATACCTATGTATAGGGGGAGAAAGTAAAAATACAATTTCAATACATATTTCTTAACAAAGATTTTTATATTTTTATGCAATGTAGATGGGTACAAACGGCACCCCAGCTTATTCGATTGCAGGAAGACATGATATACCAAACCACGAAGAGATACCTGGCCCCGGAACTTACTGCCCGGAAAAGGTAAGGTTTTTGTGAACACCATAAAATACTATTTGTTACCTGTGCACTTATTTAACTGTAGACAATACTTAGTTTATCTTACTTTGGTTAACAATGTGTTGTAGTTTCAAATGTAGCCATAGTGGATATTAATCAGTGCTTCTTCAACTGCTCAGTAACTTTGTCTTTGAATAAAGTAAGTGTTGATTGGTTTCCTTAAAAGCAGAGATGATAATGATGATTCAGTAATTCGAACACAATTCCACTGTCGAAATAATCAGATTAACGATAAAGTAAATAAGATTCCAACAAGTACGAGTTGAGTTGAGTTGTACAACGAATTTGGATTGATTCCATTCAACAACATAGAAAAACCAATAAACTTATTTTTAGTGAAACAAATCTAGGATTTACTGACAATAGGCATCTGAAAGATAAATTGTTTAAAACGTAGATACTAACAGAGAATTATTTTGAGACCTGTGCATGCCATTAGAAGGCAAGAGAAAGCACAGTGTACGGTCCAGAAGAGAGATAACTTAAAGATTCCTACTGTTCTCGGTCATTGAACTTGTATTAAATAATCATGGCTAAATAAATAGCTGATTTTAGTCAGTACCGGTAATAAAGTTATCATTAATTAAAAATTCAATTTTCACCGATCCACCATAAAATTTCTCTGTTTTGTCAGTGCCGCATGAATAAAGTCTAATTCTGAACCACCCGTATAGAAGCACTTGAGTTAACATACAATCATTTAGTTATGCACAGTTATTAATCGTAGCATCCAGTCTTGGGTACTAATAGTCTAAATACTTAGTAGATTATTTTATATATTGGTAGATTAGATGTAGACGTAGATTGAAAGTAGATTTTGGTATAGATCCCGACGAACTCCACGCCCGCCTACAGTATTCTGGGGAGGCACGAGATTCCGACAAAACAGGACAGTCCTGGGCCAGCTGCTTACTGTCCTGAAAAGGTAGGTTCATTTAACAAATCGATTAATAGAACAACATTTTTAAGGCGAGGGTATTTGTAAACTATGGCTTTTAATGCATCAAGCTATTAATATCTAGATAAGAATAGAGAAGTGAGTACAGAGGAAATATTCTATGGTACTCTTAAGTGGTGTCTAGCACTAGTCGCTGGTGTCTACAGCAAAATCCAACTCCTCCCCCTTGCCCTCATGTACAACACTCATGATCGGGGAAGACCCTGTGCCTTGTGCAATAGGAATTTCCACACAGTGCTCGCTGCTCGGGCTCTTCCCTGCTCATCAAAAGTATATTTCCGGTACAAAGCATACCAGAGCTGAAAGCGCATGGTCGTCGCATAATTAAGTTTCCTCTCTCTGCGATATGAATAAATCGTGAGAACATTTGGTGCTAGAAACAAAAACTCAACAAAATTATCTAGTCACTGAACAACCCGCTTGTGTATGTTCAGCGATGGTTTAGTTTTGTGATTTGAGCCTCAATCCAGCCATATTGTTCATTTTTACCTCTTTGTGTTTCTAGTTTCTAGCAAAATTTGTTTGAAAAAGAATCACATTTTTGTGTTTATTTGTCTAAAACGATAGAAAACCATTATTGTAAAACTTTGGCATATTAAAATCACTGAATAACTCATGGGATTTGAAGGGTTATATCAATTGCAATCAGCTGATTATTTTTGAGATAGTTTACTGAATCAGCTGTTTTATTTTTCAGCTACCAACAATGCCTACTCCAGCCTACACCTTCAGTGGCAAATACTCTAAGAGATCTTACACTGTACTTCCAGGACCTGGGTCTTACTCTCCGGAGAAAGTAAGTTTATAAGAATAGGAAAGTTTTGTTTTTTAATGCTAAAAATGTCTTATACCCCAGATACTTTAATAAAACCTGTATTGATGTTTAAAGGTTCTGGATCGAATGGCGTTCTAGGATTTGCAAAGCAATAAACAAATTATTTTGAATAACTAAAAAACTCTGTTGCATAAGTTGAAAACTTAGAGATTAGGAACACAGTTACTTTTCAATAACAGTTCTTCAGATTTTTGGCAATAGATTAAATAATACTATTATTTTTGTCACCTATTACTTCCTTGTCTAGTATGTTTCAGCTGTTTTATTTATTTATTTTTTTTTTAATAGGAAGACATGGATTGGGGTTAATTCACTTGTTCTAACAGTTCATACGCTACAAAAATAATATGGTACTCTCACTAATTTTTTACTAATGTACTATATTATTTCAAATTCTCGCTCCTAATAGCAGACACGATCAGCGGGATGGTTATTACTTTTACTTCTTCATACAGTTCAGACATTACAAAAATAATAGGTTATTCTAATTAACCTATTACCAAGGTATTAGGTGTATTATTTATCCTATTGCGTTCAATAACATACCTCTAACCCTTAAATAATTCTTTCTTTTATGTGTAGCTTCCTCAAGTCAACGGACCTTCATACTCATTCGGAGAAAAACATCAAGTACCTTGTCATGAGGAGATCCCCGGCCCAGGCGCTTACGACCCAGAGAAGGTAAAAACTAAAAAAAACTGTAGAGACAACTTAGAAAATTTTGGGATTCTGTTTTGTCTTTTCTAGTAGAAGATTCTTAATGGAACGGATCATGCACAGTATGTTTAAACTATGTTTGAGGTTTGTTTAAAAACCATGGTATTGGTTCAGCATGTTTGTTTGTTGTGAGCACTGAACTACTGAACTTACTGCATGCTTAAAATGTTTTACGATTTCTCGGAACCAAACTTTGTTACATACTGATCAACAATTGTGCAGGTTTTTTCTGATGTTTTATGACACATTTTCTAGTATCTAGTTTTCAATCAGTTGTCTTTTTGAAGTACCTGTAGACTCCATATACAGCTCTGAAATTGAGAACGCATTGCAACAGCAATTACCAAGCGATTGTATGCACTATCTAAAACATTCCATTTCTAGATAATATCCAAAAATTTCTAAAAAGAACAACTATTTTCTACGACTTGTGAAGGTTGATTTTGCAATTTCAAGACAATTAGACTCAAACTTTGACGTAAACATAAGTTTTTAAAATTGCTTGATTTTGTCATTAATAATATAATTTACTTATTATACATAGTATCCCGTAGGTATGTACCACAAATTTATAAATAGGTGTACTGGGTCAAAATCAAACAAAAATCAAGAATAGCATTTTTTCCAAAAACACCTCGTTGGCGATATAGTTACCTGCCATTTTTTTGTGTTTCAAATTAATATCATGGAAACTATTTGAGATACCTTTACAAAATTCAGTATACAATTTCATCAAGTCATAAGCTATTAAAAAAAAAAAAACAACAATCATAAAAAATACTTTTTCGTTTCATAATGGCAGCCATTTCAATTTTATAGCAATTTACTAAAATGATTGATTTTATAAAATCAAGAACACTTTTCTTTAGAAGTTGTAATTTTCTGATAAACAACTCCAAGTTCAAAATTATCGAATAATAGCAGAGAACCCACGATCTTTACGCACAAACTAGGCACACCCTAACAGTTTTGACTGGCCTGTACAACTACTGACCAACTCCATTGTGACTTGTGAACAACCCTGTATCTGTAAAATTTAAGCATTTGACACTATCTAAAGAAAGAGGTAGTTTGCACTGTATCGTTGGATGTACACCATTTCACTATTGTACACAGTTGTGTGGCATGTTGTATTTAGCATGTAGTATGTAGCATGTAGTAAGCATGTAGTTGTAGCGAGTGGCATGTTATAGTTGCCAACCGTAGCTCCACCCGCTTACTCTATCAGCGGCCGCTACAATCTGCCGAGTGACGATGACAAACCCGGCCCCGGCACTTACTCACCCGATAAGGTTTGTTACTTGATTTGGAATTGTAAAAAAGTTTTATTTGGAACTAAATTTAGTGAGATTTGATTTTGTGTTCAAAATTCAAGTTTTTTTTAGTCCTGAAGTTTTTAACTAAAAATCTTGGTTTTTTACCTATTTATTTATTAAACTACTTAAATAAACACTCGTTTTGAATTAAATTTTGTTGAAACTACCCTACCGATAAATTCTTAGTGTCTTGGTAAAATTATCTCCTGGTGAAACAATCCTGGGAAAATTTTTAACTAAAGTGTTAAGAATGGAAGAGAAAAATCACCCTTTGTTTTTTTGATGTGGGTGAAAATGTACAATTTTCTGTGTTAGGCGTTTGCTCCAACGAAATATCTAACTTATACTTTGTTATAAATAGTTATCCTGAGTCTTTTATATTTTGACATAATCATTATAATGTAGATGTAAATTGTATATTGATATATTGGTTACTTAACATTCCAACGTAGCCATAGTTATATAAATAATTTTGATTTTTTCACGTTTGGACTTAAAAAAGGAATGCACATACAATATATACAGGGTGTTTTTAAATGAATGCCGGGATTTTAAATGGTAATTGCTTGGATTCTATTCAAGGTAACTAAACGTTTTATACGTCAAATTGAAACTAAAATAATTAGGTTTTTGTTTCGCGTGTAGCGAGGGAGGAAACTTTGACATTTGGTATGGGTAAAGCAGGCCGCTATTGTGACTCATACACCTGACGCCAGTCGCCAGTACGGCGTTTACGGAGAATCAGAAGGCACAGATTGTAATCTGTAGTTCGCAAAGCTTATATCCATTGCTAAATTAAACTAAATTTAAATCTACTTGATGATAAAGAAACTTGAAGCTGGTTTAATGAGTTTCGTGGTACTGAAGTGTTTTGAAAAGACATTCACCTGGCCGGCTAAAAACAAGCGATGACATAGTCGAAGAAATCCAACAATTCTGCATCAGAAGCCTGAAAAAATTGATTGCCCAACGAAGTCTTCATTTTAACATACCTAAATTGGCCACTTTATGACAATATCTATAAAAGATAAAGTCTTTGTGCCGAAAAAGATTCAGTTAAGACATCAGAAAAACCTGCCGATCACCCTAAGCGTACAGACTTTCCCAGTTTTACGCTCATATAAGATTGGTGAAAATCGGAATTTTATTAAATTATTCCAAATTTTATGAAAGAATGAGAAAAAAACTTTATTCTTTTCCCTTCAATTTGACGTTTAAATTGTTTAATTATCTTGAATAGTCCCCGAGCAACAACCGTTTGAAATCCCGGCATTCTTTTAAAAACACCCTGTATTTTAATTACCTTTGCCTGTACACTTAGATTATAGATTCACTTGTAGTTGGTATATTAGACACACAAGTAGCCTAGACGTAGTAGTAGACTAACTCTTGCACGTTTAGCTCCCGTCAGTGAATCCTCCAGCGTACAGTATCGGCGGCCGCCACGAACTGCCTTCTGACAACGACAAACCCGGTCCTGGCACGTACTCGCCTGAGAAGGTAAACATAACCTAGAAACTAACAGGTAATCTTCCTCTTGTCTTGTGTATGTGTATGTGTAACTTTTATGGATGTCTGAAGATTGTAGCTGGGTGAGTGGGCATACAGTGCTCGCCTTATAATCAGACGGTTACTGGTTCGATCCTTAGACAACGCTAGTAGCTTTTTGTTGGATACAAACTGAACCCAGGTGTTCTAATCATTGGGATCATAAATGATCCTAACTAATGAATCTGCTGATCTTAGACAAGAACAATGCTGTTGTCTCATCAAAAACCTACCATGCCATTCAAACCCCTCATCCATTCAAACTCTCATGGTTCACTTATACCAGGGGTGCCCACAAGGGGGGGCTGTGACGCAGACTGCGTCATTGAAATTCTTGGGGGGGGTTGCAAAAATTCAAATGGGGGGGGGGGGGTTGGCTAAAGTCAATTGAAACAGAGTTTACCAGATAGTCACCAGATAGAAAGTCGAATAATAATGACAATAGTTATATTATTGAATTCAATTAGTTAAAATAGGATTTTAGGATAGTTTAGGATTCGTGTATGAAGTTATTATTTAAGATAGATTAGCAAGACGTGAGATCTAAACGGAATGGCTCAACTGCTGAGATAGATAAAGATAACGCGTGGTACAGACACGTCCAGCTACACCGCGACTTAGCACAGAATGCTTTGTTGACATAAGGCTCGTTAAAATACAATCAAGTAGCATAGGCAACAATACTGTACTTTACACTATATTGTGTAGATACTCGATTACCTGAGTTAATAGGGAGAGGGGGTAATGAAAATACGGTTAATCCAATATAGTGTAAAAACAGATGACAACCCCATTAAAATGCTGTAAACAGCCATTAACGTCGCGATTTGCATTTTTATAAACGAAATTCAATATTTGTGTAATAATGACATTTCAAACCATTAATCTTGGTTCAGTTGTACAAACGGCAACGTTTAAAATTATAACTAACTCAAGCTCAACTAATAACTAGCCCAACACTATGTATTTCTGCTATAAATAACGTAAATATTAAACCTTAGAAAGTGTTATAAGCTATTGCTCATGATAGACAGATAGGCTACCGGCAGAGGCTGTATCACAACATAGGAATTGATAGATACGTAATAAAAAAGTGTAAAATTATATTTAGAGTTAATAAAAACACTCTTAAAAAAGAATGTAACGAGAACAATCTTGTTATTCTTTTCCTTTTTTCTTCTGTTTTTTATTTCTCTTCAATTCATACACAAATTCAACAAGTCACCATATTTAGGCCTACTCATTGCCCAATCACAGCCTTAGGTACTAAAATTACCATGACCATGGTTATTAATCACTCAATCACAGTTTACTAAGCATATTATAATTCCCCAGCTGTTGAATCTGAAATATGTTGTAACATAGCGCACAGCAGACAGAAGTGTAAAACCACTGAGCTATAATTCTAACTGGAGGTAGCACTGAATGTCAAAGATGCGTGTCGACAGCCGCCATGTTTGCGTGAGTCTGGTGTCATAAGAAGCCATGTTATTGCTATAACTATTATTATACTTGGCTTAAAATACCTACTTTGTATGGTCGCCATTTCAAAGAAAATTATTAAAGTATTAAAAGTATTCAAGTATGACAAAAATACTCACTGCTATACCAACCTAGTTATAAGAAGCCATGTCATTGCTATGATAAGAAAACTTACTGCTATACCAACCTAACAAAATCAGCGACACGCTTTTGACAGACTTCTACCATGGCAGTGCTACCTCCAGTTATAATTTTAGCTCAGTGTGTAAAACGGAGCAGACGATTGTTGGCGCAAGCGTTGTTTCCATTTCATTTTCATCGTTGGAGCTGTGATGTTTCCAAAGGGAGGGAGAGGGGGTCGTTATATCAAGAGACAGACGCTGACAATTTGTTAAGCAGAGGTTACGAACGCAATATAGATATTCTGGCAACAAAATTCCGTAAATTGAGGTGACTTAAAAAACTCTAATTTTATTTATATAGAAAGACTAGCTGTAACCCGCGGGCTTTGCCCCGTTTAACTTCTTAATTTTCAAGATTATCTCGTTCGCATGGCTCAATCACGTCCTGGTTGAAGTTTGTTCGCTACGCTCACTCACCTTTAGGTTGGAGCTCGTTCGCTGCGCTCACTTGCCTTCAGGTTAGCTCGTTCGCTACGCTAACTCGCCTCCAGGTTGAAGTTCGTTCGCTACGCTCACTCACCTTTTGGTTGCAAATTAGCTGTTGTCATAAATATAAAAGAAATAATAGTGCTGCACCCTGTTGGTAATCCTTGTAACTTTAATGCTATTGAACATCATAGAACAGAACCAACTTGTTTAATTGAAACAGCTGTTAAGATTCAATAATTCCATTTCTCATAAGGTTAACATGGGAAACTCCAGAGCCACTGGGGCGGAGCCCGAAAGGATTTTTAAATAAGAATATGCCTATATGTCAATCGGGAATGTGAGCTATCATCATGCCAAATTTAAGCCCAATCCGACCAGTATTTTTCGCATTCACTTGTCACAAACATACATCCATACATCTATACATCCATACATCCAAACTTTCTCATTTATAATATTAGTAGGATAAGTTTTCCAGTCCTGTACAACACTGATTCACGGTCTTTCCCGGTAATCAAAATTCAAGTACAACTTGATACACACAGAATCTCCGGTTCCTGACCTGGATGATGGCTAGTTATTTAATTTAATTTACACTTACATATTAGTACCCGTGATAAATCAAACCCGTTATGTAAGCCAAAGCTACACGGTTATTAATCTCACTTGGTTTTGGATTTGCTTACAAACATGATCGGAAATGGTTAGGGCCTACAGAGTATTCGCAAACTACATTTATATAAACATATCAGTGACAGCTAGAAAAAGGAATCTTTATCAAAACGGCTGTTCGTAATTTCATATATGACGTGTCCTCTTAACACATTATTAGTATTTCATAAAATGACGTATGTAGTAAACATGGAGAAAAACTTGAAAATCACGCAAAATTGGGTCTTTGATCGTCCGTTATTTTTATTTCCAAAATAGTGAGGCCATATTTTAATGGCTAAGGACACTCTCGCCAATCCTGTGAATTAAACCATCAGAATCATAATCGGTACTCTAGTTTTCTTTAGAGTAGGATGCATAAAATGCCTTCTGGGCCGTGACAGACGGACATAAATTGAGACAAGACATGTTTCAACTTCTTCAATGTATAAAACGTAAAAATAACCCAAAATATGTGGGTAGTCTGTAATTCTGAGCAATGTACAGACAAAACTATAACTTTATTTATTTAGATTAACTGGGTTTGAATTTTCAATTTCTAAAAAAATGTATAAAACTTCTTTTAGTTTTACAAATAATGCTGGGCGGGGGGATAATGTTTCTCATTTGTTGTGTACCTCATTTATGGTGGGGGGGGCTGTTGCTCAATGCGGGGGGGGGGGGGGGTGCGTCATGAGTCTAGGGGGGGATGGGCACCCCTGCTTATACAACCTTAAAAATACACTTGTTGATGTATCAGTGTAAAATATCTATACCCCTATCTCTCATACCCTACAAAAGCTAGAGGTAACTTTACCCTTGCTGTTGTGTATGGACCTGGACAGGATATGAATGGAGGGCAGTAGTGAAATTGTCATTAAGAATCAATTAAACTTGTTTATGGCATAAGTTAGATTGGGTACAGGGTGTTTTTTTTAAAACTTGCATCTTTATTTATGTAAAAACCGCAATAGATAGAAATATGTAGTTGGCGGGAATCATCTATTGACGTAGGGGGCACAATTTTTTTGAATTCAACGATACATTCACATTCCCCCCCTTCCCCCCCCCCTGCCCCCAACTTAATTGTTTTAAATAGCAAGGTACCCCTTGTGACATATCAAATAAAAGAGCATGAAAAAAGAAAATGTTTGATGAAAAAAAATTGAAAATCGGTTCATAAATTTGTGAGATAATCCCCCCCTTTTCTCCTACCCATAACTTGTTTTTTTAATAGCAAGGTACCCGCCCTTGTGACATATCAAGTTAAAAATAAATTTCACCAAACATTTTCTTTTTTCATGCTCTTTCATTTGATATGTCACAAGGGGTACCTTGCTATAAAAAAAAAATTAAGTTCTGGGGAAGGGGGGGGGGGAAATATCTCGCAAATTTATGAACCGATTTTCAATTTTTTTTCATCAAACATTTTCTTTTTTCATGCTCTTTCATTTTATATGTCACAAGGGGTACCTTGCTATTTAAAAAAATTAAGTTGGGGGCAGGGGGGAAAGGGGGGGAATGTGAATGTAACGTTGAATTCAAAACAATTGGGCCCCCTACGTCAATAGATGATTCCCAAAAACTGCATATTTCTATCTATTGCGGTTTTTATATAAATAAAGATGCAAGTTTTTAAAAAAACACCCTGTACAGTGTTTCAAGTTCATTTCACCTACTGATTAATACCTGATGATTATCCCTGTTGTAGATTCCGACGATTTCCACGCCAGCTTATACATTCGGTGAAAAGCACACTCCGCAGAACCACGAGGAGAGGCCGGGACCAGGGACGTACGCTCCAGAGAAGGTGATGTAGATAATGTTTTGGTGACATCGAAAATCCACTTTACGAATGTTAAAGTTTTATGTGTGCGGGTAAACTTAACAAAATCATAAAATCTACTGAATATTTTACTGTCTTAGAAATGGTATTAGGCTTAGACCTTTAGAGTGTTTAAGTCTTCATAATTGTAAGACGAGAAACCATAAAATTTCAGGTACAACTTTAATTAAATGATAGCTTTTCTTTGTTTGAAATTTGTGCACACAAATTTAATGAAAATAATTTTTTTTTCTGTGAAACAGAAATGATAAATGGTTTGTCTGTTTTTTTTAATTTTTATAAATGTATTAATCCTTAATTTTAGTCATCATAATTCATTGAATTTACAGTAGATACCTGAATCTTTTGTGGTTTGTATCCATTATGTTTAAGTCGACTACTTTAATTTAGTAGTTAGTTAGATACAATATTTCTCTAAGTTAGAAATTAAAATTGCATAGTATGGCTTCAAATTGCAAATGATTCAATTTAAGGGATGAAGATACACCCATACCTTTGTGTAGGTAATCCTCAACAAGAATATTGCTCCTGCTCACACTTTTGGAATAAAACACTCCCAATATTGCGGCGTTACGCATCCGCCGGTTGAAGCAGAGTTGTTTTAAACGTGGTAACTCAATCTCATACGCATGGTTTTTCCACATTTTTGGTTGGTTTCAAATATATAAAACTGCAGTGCACAATAGGCTATCACTGTTTAGGTTTTGTGAAGTTGACATTTCTTTACTGTTCTTTTTTCGAGTAAAGTACAAACAAATTTTAATTTATTATGTAGTATCCATCACGTTTTTTAGCGTAGCGAGCACATGTGTGAGTAGTAAATAGTAACTACTTTACCTGTTAATATTTCGTAATTATTTCTATAACTTTTTATAGAAACTATCCATTTTTTTATATAACAGATTATAGTAAATGGTATCAACAATCTGACACATAATTTCTCCCATTAGCTTGTCGACAACGCTTTGGGTACCTAAGCAGTGGGAGTAACTACAATATTTTATGGGGAAACTCACAAAAGCTGTAATAACTTATGAACCGTATTGTTTAGAGAAATTGGAGTTGTACTACTTTGTTTAGGGTTATAAAGACCATAAGACACATAAATTTTAATCAAAATTGATCAAGCAGTTTTTTTTATCAGAATTTATGTTATTTTATAAGTTATAAACAAAAATCATCATTTAAAATAATTATTTCAGAATATTAAAAAAGCGCCTGAAGATATTTTGTACCATGGATTTAGCACTCAAGAAAACTAACTTCCAGCAACACACTTGAACAAAAAACCAATACTTTGTTTAATACCTAAATATTTACTCTGCAACGCCTGAACCCTCTCTGGGCCACTTCACTCTGTCATAACTTTGTATTGCTGTTTGTTAAATAGTATAATTGTTTTACAGGTGTGCATCGACTATCCCCCGGCTCACTCGTTTGGTATCAAACACTCTGCTTTCACTGGGCAACTCCGAGACCAGGTTGTCCAACCCGCGACTTACAACACGGTTAGCTACAGAGATCTTCCGCAAACTACGCAGCCTTCCCCAGCTGTCTATCAGCCAGCCCCAGCCAATCCATCAGTCAATCCGTCAGCCAATCAGATCGTTGACAAATTCTCCAACGCCAACCAATCAAACCAAGTCGCTATCTACAAACCTTCAACTGTCGACAAATTTGCCAACCAACCTAATCAAACTGTCAACAAATCCTCAACAGTTGACAAATTCTCTAACCAATCAAATCAAACTGTCAAACAATACTCTGTCAATCAGTCTTCAAACCAAGCTGTCGCTGTCAAACAGATGACAAACGGCAACCACGCCGTGAATCAATCTTCGACTGTCAAACAATTCTCTAACCAATCTTCCAGCGCCAACCAAGCCGTTGCTGTCAATCAGTCTTCTAGCGTCAAACAGTTCACCAACGGCAACCAAACTGTCAACCAGTATTCTACTGTCAAACAATCGTCAACGGTGAATCAAACGGTGAAACAGTCGTCAGCTGTGAAACAATCTTCAACAGTCAATGTGGTCAAATCTGTCTACAACGGTCAGGTTAGAGAGAAAATTTGCTAGTCACAGCGACTCTTGTCTTATATACGATGCAGCAACAACTTTTAACGAAACATTTTGATTAATGATTGGCAACAATTTCATTGGCTGATTCAACAACCTTGATGCATCATTGTAAATAACAAAAATACAAATCTTCCTCCTATCTACCACCTCTAGCATGGAATATATTTAACGAGGTGTTAAGTAAAACAGTAGAACTAAGAAAACAATAAATTGTAAAATAATAATGGTTTTCAAACTAGACAACTTTAGTAAGAAATATTGTTACTGAAAAATACATTCTTATGTTTATGACAGTGACGTAGATATTAACTCACAACGGATCTATACAATTTTTTAACAAATTTGGTCTGATTAAAATATGATAATACATTTAGATAAATTCTTCTTTCTGTGATTTTGAAATATCAAAATGCTAGAGATAAAATTTTAGATATTTTGGTTCATCCAGATTCAACGAAGAAAAAAAAACATCATGTAGGCCTACCTGTAATGATGATTAAGAAATATTATTTTGTTTTCTTGTTATGAAAAACCTTCACGTACTTATACGGTTGCAATTTGGGCTTACCGAGTTAACATAAGCTAACTAACCTGTGGTAGCTTAATGTTAGTGTAGTATCGTTAAATTTTAAATTTGTTTCTGTTATTTTTGAATGTTGAAGATTTATAATTGTTTAATGTTATTTGTAACTTTACGTCTGGTTCAATGATTTCTAACATGTAACATAGTAGAAGCAAATTAATGTTGCCAAATTTATCTTAGAGTAGAACTAACTTGCTCTTCCTATCGTAACAGTCTTGAATCATCAGTGCTTTTACTGAAGAATGTTTAGATGTTTTTTTTTTGTTGTTCCTACAATAAAAGTGCTTCTTATGTTGCCTTCTGGGTATTTATCTGTTTCCCTTTTGTTTCAACATTTCAGCCTCATGATGCAAATTACAACATAGTGGGTTTAAAACGTTTTCCCTTTAGTTTGAGAGCACAAAAATGCAAGTAGAATAATTGTTGTCGTAATTTTTTATTTAAACCAAGAATAAGGAATTCCATTCAGCACAAATTCAGGCTAAATTTTTTTAATGGATAGGTTTAACAGCAGGCTTGCGTAACTGAATAGATCAGCTGTTTCTACAGACAGGATCATTTAAAGCCCAATGATCAAGGACAGCTAATTCCAGTTTCGAAACATAAAAAAACTGACTTTTCTCAAGATTGATCCGGCAAACTTTTGATTGCTATAGTCCGTTCACAAAATTTAGGCGGTTCGAGCGGAAGTTTCCCTACAATTGTTTTTGCTTTACAGCTGACTGATGTGTTGATTAAATTTTTATTTATATTTACTTGTTACGTCAGCTGTTTTAGGTAAGTTGAAGTGGGATACATTTGTTCCCCTAAAACCGCCTAAATTTTGTGAACGGAGTATAGGCAAGCACTATAACCACTCACCTAGCCAGTTAATGTAAATGTAAAATGGGGAGCGCAAAAAGCCCAAATGTGGTTAAGGCGCTTTAGGGACTTTGTTTGCACCTATTCAATCGTTTAATTCCAGGATCGGTCAAGGTTATTTGACAAAGAAACATATTGTTCATTGAAGCAGTTCTATTTCCACTCAAAGGGGTTGTACATTAGTCTCCATTAGCATACACACAGTACGCACGTCCGAGTCGAAGAGCTCCATTTGAGCCTTGTAGTGGCCAGCCTGCCCTACAGTCAGCGGGTAGCCCGCTACGTCCAGCGTGGACGACTTGAACGAGTACATCTTCTGGAAAGGCAGAAACAAACAAAAAAGACTTGAACTATTTTAATTCTAAATAGTCCTATTGGTATTGGAGAGGCTTCACAAACGAAAAAAAAACTTCTGATTTCCAGTGGAATTTTGTAATCGAGAATAAAAAATTTCTCAAGGATAGCAGTTTTGGTCTTCAAATTTTGGTGGTTATTTTTATTATCGTCCCTATCTACGCCAGTAGCATTTATCAATTTTTTTTGTAAGGAAACGGTCTAAAACCTGGTCTTGTTACTAAGGTTGACCTGTTGTTAAAAGCATCATCAATGACAAGTGGCATCTAGGTCTGGCTACGATCTAGCTTAAAATCAAACCAGCGACCTCCAGATTTGAAAGCAAGTACTATAACCACTTTATTTTGTCCTAGGCCGCTAGGCACAAGCCTAGGATTGTTTTTCACATTACTTCAGGCTAGACCTAGGGATTGCGGCATTATCACTTAGATCAAATCCATTGGTGACTTGGCGGGGATCGAACCCGGGACCTCAGGGACTGAAGTCTCGTGCTCTAACCACTACGCCAGCTCGCTCCCCTATAACCACTGTACTATAACCACTTAGTAGACAGTTGTATGATGATATGCCTGGGATCAACAGCAAAGACACTAAATAGGTCGTAACCAAAATATTTTGGGTTTCTTCATTACAAAAGATTGTTTCTAAAATTCGTAATTACAATATTCCACGATCACTCTTCATTCATATATTCTGTTTAATATACACAACAATATTTGTCGCTTTCAGCAAATCAAATTGAATTAAATACACCAAAACATATAAAATAAATAGCAGTAACAACACCTTCAAAGTGGATTTTTTTTGTTCAACCACATTGACTGTTCTATTATTTTTTATTAGGGAACGGTCCAAACCCTAGTACCCGTTACTATATAACAAATTTTTGACCGTTCCCTTGAAAAAACTTAAAAATTGCCAATGGCTTAGAAACATGTAAAAATATTACTATGAACCTTTTGTTGGATATCATCAATAAAACTGTTAGCACAATGACAAATGGCATGGGATCAAAATCAATCTCACTTGGAATCAAATCAGAAATCTCTAGTCTTCCTGGAAATGCTTCCACAGTCACTTAATGTAGAATCAAGTTCTCACCGACATTTCGCCTCGATACAGAGCCATCTTCAGGGCAACTAGACTCCCCACAGATGAAAAATCAAGTGGAGCTTACAGCTGGGCGCAAGGGCGGTCATAGGCATATATTTTTGGGGGGGGGGGGTCACCGGGGGGCCTTGGGGGGTAGCTTGTGTTCAAGCTTCCCAGTTTATTTAAAGGCCAAAGAAATGTCTAAAAATAAACTTGAATAATGCCATGTTTTTGCATTATTGAGACTTGTGGTTTTAATATAAAATTAATACCGCAACATTACAACACATTCAAGCATTATTGATTTACAAAAACACCCTTTCAACTGGTGCCGATGTGCATGCTAAACAGAAAATGTCCAAAATCAGACCAAGATTTCGAAAAAGAGAACTATTTTATCTAAGAAGTGTTTAAGAACTTGCACCAAACACGACTGCATTATACCTGCCCAGTAAGCAACAGTTAACCTACACAAAGTACACTACCCAACTAACGTTGCGTCGGCGTCCCGTCACTACTACCGCCTGAAGAATTGGTTCTCAGTGTTCTCATTTTTTCTACGCCAGTGGCATTTGACAAGGGGTCCGTCCCTTCCACATCTAAGTCTGAGACACTACCATTTTGTTGTAGTATGATATCAGGTGCTCTAAATATGAATACTATTTAATATTGAAAGTTTTGAAATTTGTTACGGTAATCATTGAATTACATTACTGTAATTACAAATTCCTAACACTGAACTCAGATAAATTAATATTCAACTACCTTTCAAACTTTGACTATTGATACAACCTCTTTTCTTTATCCAATACCCAATTCAAGTTTTCAATCATCTGGGTTAAAATGAATTATAACATAAATGCCAAAAAATTAAATAAGAAGAAGAATGCAGCCGAACGTCGAACGTCAGCATCGGACACTGCCGTTGCCATATATGGCTGAAAGCGTCCGTTGTCTGCCGATCTTCCCTAATTTTCATAACGTACAAAAACATAGTCAGACTTGAACGATCCCAAGTTTTAGGTTAGACTTTGTAATTAGTCCTTCCGTTCGCTACAAGTGTAAAGACTACAACGAATTTCAATTTGGTAAAACGATCTGCAATAAAAAATATTAATGTTTCCCTGGTATAATAGTTTATGTATATAAAAAATATTTTGGGGGGGTCATGACCCCCTGACCCCCCCCCCTGGGACCGCTCTTGGCTGGGCGAGGTCGCAGGTTATATCTGGAGGGGTGGGAGTTAGACGTCCCAGGAATGTGTAGAGGAACTGCCCGCGGAGTCAAGTCGCCCTGAAGATGGCACTCTGTATCGAGGCCGAAATGTCGGTGAGTGTTAGTATTTCACCGTTTTTGACACAGTTGTCGCCAGAAGACCACGATTGTACAGAAATCTCCAGATTTGAATGTGAGCTATACCCTCTCAGCTACCCAGACAATTCTGAAATCATGACTTAAGTCTAAAGTGTAACTCCTATAGCTCACCGCAGGTATGGGGCATCCTTTGATTTCCATCTCCTTGATTATTGGCGTCCACGGCTTTTTCTCCTCGGAAATGTGTTTACAAAGATCGTCCTCCGTTACGGTCATCAGGTACTCGTAGTTTCCGTTAACCTCTTTGTGAATCGTCAGCTTGAACTGAACATTACAATTTAGAAGTGACTATTGTAATATCAACCAAATAACGTTATAAATAAGTTTGTGATTGCAATTTTACATGTCTAAGTTTTCTTTTATAAATACATGGCCACAAACTGGTTAAGTGGTAAAGCATGTTTGATCCCAGAAGTCCTGGATTCAAATCCCGTCAATCGCCAATGATTTTTATCTAAGTAGTAATGCTGCAATAACTCTCTACCTAGCTTGAAGTAATGTGTAAAATGGTTCGGGATAAGAGCCTAGAATGTAAAGGTGGAACATTAAAAAATATAAATTTATATAAAGATAAAAATAAAATGTATATAAATATGACTGTGTGAATCTCTAGTTGGAGACAAAAAAATATGACAGTTTTTTTTCTCAACTATGCAATAAAATTAGGATTAATCAAAAACACTAAACATTCCAGAGTTATCACCTTAAATTCTCAAGAAAATGTCCTCTTGAAATTCTCCCAAGTGGGAATTCTAAAATTAAACTATTTTGACTACAGCTGCACAATTTCAGTTATATTTTAAATTTATTTTCTTTAATTCCTACAAAATGAGTTTTGGAGGACAGAAGTCGTGACGCAACTTAGTTTCATTGTTTTTTATTAAAGGTTGATGACAGATCTATTCTCCTAGAGGGAGAAGAACTGTGATTTTTCTTTCAGTATAAGAAAACAACACATAAGGCTTTAGACACCGCTTAAATTCCACAAGAGCCATAAGTCTTTGCTTAAGGAACATAACATTAGAAGTGTTATTGAGAAGATAAAAGTCCTTGTGAAAGTTCTATTCCAACACCTGTAAATCAGCTGATTTATCAGCTGTTTAACAATGAAATATAATTAATTAATTTATCAAGTCTTAATAATATAGTTTGTACTGCTAAAAACCTGAAAAATAAACCGGACAATCTTTGCCTTAACAATAATTTTCTATTACCGGTACACATAATTTACAAAATTTACTGAAATAAATACAAACAAATCCATTTCAAACCTTCAGTTTGTTGCTAGTTTCTTTGAGCATTTTGACGTCACCTGCCAACGCCAGAAGAGTCTTGCTTCTCTTCACCACGACCAACTTGGACAGATCAAAGATGCTGTTGTCGAACCCTTCACACGGTCGCATTCCTCCATCCCAATTGAGATAGTATTGACCCTAGATTCAGCGGAGAAATATCGGATCAATCCAGATGTAAGTAATACAAAATCTAGCAAAATTGTAATTTTGCAAAAGAGGTGTTTGAAAGCAAACCCAGATTTATTAAAGCGAGCAAATATCTGCTTTCAAGCTTTTAATTCCCTCTTTCAATTGATGTTATTAAAATAGTGCTTTCCTTAACTCCTAAAAGTCAAATCATAAACAAATGTTCTCCCACTAGATATTATAGAAACAATTCAAAAATTTAACAATATCTGAATGTCTACTCCACTATTACTGCTTCATAGTAATGCAAAGTAATTAGTTAATTACTACCTTCTAAAGTAGTTTAATACATTTTAAAATAAATACTTCACTATATTGTAATTTTGATTTCAAGAGGCTTTTTGTCAGCTGTGCTAACATCGTCAGACAGTAATTTAAGTTATTATGATTAATTACGACAATCTTTCTAGTAATTAATAATTTAATAATCTTAATTATTGACAAGATTACCAGCGCCCGGAGTGGAGATTTGGCCAAACATATGGGAACTAAGAGCAATAAAACGCACAAAAGTCGTGCCATTTTCACTGATCTAAAACTCTTCTTCCTCTTACCGGCCAATGACATGTTCACACTCATGTTATCAGCTTCGTCTTTGACCTTCAGATAGTTATCCAAAAATTACAAGCACAGTTCGTGTATTTCATATCTCTCTGAGTTTCCCACGGTTGGTTTCATCCTGTTAAAAAAAATGAAATGTTTTAAGTGACCAGCATGCAAACGTTCTAATTTCCCTTGCTGTCATACCACAGTTAGTTAATGAAATCAATAATTCTAGAAAATAATATTTAACAACCTTTTAACACCTTTTTAATCATCCTTTTGCTTTATTGTCTTGTCCTAATGAATTTAATGAATAACCTGTATGTTGCACCAAATAATAATCAAATCAGCTGTTTGTTTATTTGACTTTTTAATAACTTACATTCTAATTCAACCAGAACATATGGTATGGATCTTGTCAATTAAAGTGGCAAGCATATGATGTGTGAGGTTGCACACAAGAACTTCCCACCACTGTCGCTTTTGTTATTTTTTACAGTCAACTCAACTATTAAATCCCCATCGGAGTAATGGAATACCACTAGCAACTAGTGTGACTAGTGTGAACTAGTGAACTAGAGAACTAGTGTGATTGTTGGAAATCTCCCCTCACAATTCCCTTAACTGACTTATTTTACAACATTTTTTATGTTTGATAAAAGAAAACCCAGCATATTCCTCCTTTTGTATTTTCTATTATCAAAATATAGTTTTTAGTCTACACTGTATAGAAGGAAAAGACCGTGTGAGATCATTCAAAATTTTGGGAATAGGAAAAGTCAGTTAGTCAAAATACCTAGCTATTGGTAGGTTGAGGAAACTGCATTAGTTTTATAAATTTATAGCTAGAAGCAAAGGTTAAGCTTTTTCAGTCAATAAATCTATAAGTTTTTAACTTCATACTGTAAAGTAAAAATCTTTCAAAAGAGTAATATTGGAGGGGTATAAAAGTTGTATATCAACATTCTATGTTGATATTATATAACTTCTCAATTTCTGTTAGAGCTATGTTCCCGTCACTTTTTGGAGAAGCCCTAAATCTACTCTCCAAGAATTCCATAGTGCTAACCTGCTGTATGGTCCACAAAGTTCTAATTTGTGAAGAGCCTCAGTACCTTTATGACAAACATTCTTCGTCAAAAATGCTTATCAAGGGGTTCTTGGCATGAAAGAGTTCATAATTTCAAGCTTTACTTTTTGGGCTTCATGTAATTGCCTAATCTATTCATTATGACAGCTTTGTGTTTTAACCTGAAATGAACTCAGAGGAGTGTTTATCTGTGTAGCTTTGTTACTGACTATGATCAGCTGTTTCTTTAGACAGCTGACAATTCATTAAAATACCTTGTGATCAAGGCTTGCTGCAGATTCAAACCGTCCAAAAGCTACTCAACCATTCAATGATAAATACAATTTTAAATACTATTACTGCTAGGCAAATAAAACAATAAATATTGAAACAGGTTTGTTCAACAAAACATTTATTTATTAAAACGACAACACTACGTTGAAACAGACACATCTGCGAAATGGCAGGAAATCTTCTTTCCATCCTGTAAAAGGTAACCAATCCCACGGAAGAGCCCAGCGTTCTTGGCGGACAGAGAAAACTTTGAAATGTCTATCATCGAATCCTTTAATGCGAAAGTGTTCTGAAAAAATGAAAGTGAATACAATATGAATATCAGATAAAAACTAGACTATGACAAGTTCTTGGGTCAAAACAAATGGAGAATAGTGAAGTTAATAACATACTCTCACCAAAATTTGATTGCATTTTCTGAATTAAAGATTTAAATTTTAAATTCTAAAAATCAAACTACCAAAACATTTTCAACTTTCACTACCATATCAGTAGTATAATTTTGATACTTGCTTTACAAAATATGTTTATATGTTTATAACAGGTTAACGTTATAGTATAACGTTAACCCCCTTCCCTTGCATGGTTTGCACCCTTCCCTTACAAAATGTTAAATGCAACTGGTATAAATCGACACAATAAAATAAAACCGTTGCCATAATCTACAACTTATGAAACGTAACAGAACACTCACTTTCTTGATTGGACACCCTGTAAGTCCCATTTCCTTGACAAATGAAGTCCAGACTTTGTCTTTATCCATCAAATGTTCACACAAATGGCTGTCTTCAAAACTGTCCAGATATTCCCAGTTTTCGTTTTTGTCAACGAAAACATCGAGTTTAAACTGAAAAATATAAAGTTCCGTAACCAATAACGAAAGTTATTTTAAGGAAATTTTGACTCAATGGACTAAGAAACAACCACCACCTTTTCAACATTACAAACCAACCAGTTAAAATAGTCAAACTACAAACAAGTTTTACCACCAGATATAGTAACTAGCTCGGTGGGTTATGCATGCCTTACGATAAGAATTTCTACATTGAATCCTGAGAAGACAGTAACTTGTTTAATGGTTTGAAACTGGACCAGCTGTCTTTCATCATTGAGCTTTTAATAAATATGTCAGCTGATTTTAGACAATAACAAATCCACACTGATCATCTCACTCCATTCTACACTCTTAGCATTCATATTCAACATACAACATGTACACAAAATATGACTTCATAAAGTGAATAAGTAATATAAGTAAAATACAAGCATATGTCTGTCAATGTAAAACTATTCCATTTACAATTAGTTACTCCACAGAGAAGTAAGGTACAGTGGAAACATTGAAACATTCCATGGTACACTTTAGTTGGTGTCTATCACTAGTCGCTGGTGTCTAGGGCAAATTTTAACCCCTCCCTCGCCCTCATGTACTACAACGCTCACGTTGGAGGAAGACTCCTGTGCCTTGTGTGTTAGGAATTTCCACACAGTTTTCGTTGCTCAGGCTCTTCCTTGCTCGTCACAAGTATATTTCGCACACAACATACTAGGACTGAAAGCGCACGGGTTGTCCCATAAGCAAGTTTTCTTTGTACCTTTACTCCTCTGTGGTTACACTTCCAATATTTCAAAAATTGTATCTTACTTGGAGGTCATCGACATCTTCCTGAATGGTGATGTTCCCGGCAAAAGCTAGTTCCTCTTTCCCTCTTTTCTCCACCACCAGTTGAGCTATATCGACTACAGAGTTGTTGAAATCCTCACAAGCAGCTAACTCCTTCCGAACGTACAGATAGTGATTGGATTTGGCCTAGAAGAAATCCTTCGTGTTGAACTACACATAACATATTTAACCCTTTGAGTGCCAACGTCCGGGGAACCGGACGTTTTTAAAACGAGCCAAAAGTGCCGACGTCCGGCCGACCGGACGTTTTTAGAACGAGCCAAAAGTGCCAACGTCCGGCTGACCGGACGTTTCGTAATGTTCGAACAGTTGTCATAACAACCGAATAGATACTCGGATTCTTTTAACCCATATATTAACATTGAGTCGAAAGTTACTAGATGCGATACATCGATTTTCGTTGGTCGAAATATCGAAAATTCGATTTTTACGAAATTTTAACCTAAAAATCGCCAGATAGCGCTCGGCATTTTTAGCGCGACCTTCGGGAAAAATCATCGGCATTTTTTGAGCGTTACTTTTATTTCTCCCCTGGCACTCTAAGGGTTAAAGGGCATAAAATATCCAATCTTGTGATTTTGTAGTGAGGAAGAATTGTTATATGGAGGAAATTATTTTAAAGAGAGCCGTCTCTATTAATTCATTAATTTTATAGTGTAAGCTGATGAATATCTACAGCTTTGGAGGTCTTTGAACCATTGGTTTCCGCCTGATAAGACATTAGTTTTCACGCTTATGCCACAATATACTTGTAAACAAATTGAATAGGATTTTGACCATTTATATTTTCGAGCAAAATCTCACAACAATTAATAATATACTATGTGAAGTTAAAAAGATTCTAAAATCAACCTGAATAAATCGTAAAAACTATTTAGCTTCATTTTCCCTCTGTTGTAAATAGGTATAAACAGGTACAAAAAGGAAATTTTTATTATTTTTACAGACTTAAGCTACATGGCAGTTTTTTTACATTTGATCAGTCTGAAGTACTGGTATCTTTGCAATCTACTACATTTAGTAGATCTTACTTATTGCACATCTTAACATCAACAAACATCTTAAAGTGGTAAATAATAGTAGAAATTGTTTAAAAACTTTACCGAACCGGGAGGCGCCCTACACGAAATGAGTGCAACCGGGAGAAACAACCAGACTAGAAACCACTTCATGTTATACAAATCATTGGTTGCAACCGCTGCAACCCGTGACAACATGGCGCCCTTCACTAGGTCAAACCGGAACATAATTATAGTTGTCATGGATACTAAGTAGTAATTAACTGAATAAAAGCGAACTAATTATAAAGATGTAATTATCAGCAATGATTACGTTCACACCAGTCGTTTTGTGTGTATCATAAAATGTCATAGTAATTATTTTTGAGTTCAACACATTTTAATTTGTTAAATTTTATTGATGAATCTTGTTTATGTTTATTTTTATCATTATAGAATGCTTAATATTTTATCGAAAACAATCCCATAATTCTGTGGTCATGTCAATATTACAACACTTTTAAAACATCTGTAAATTGCAAGCTATCACAAGATAACTTTTAAAATAAACAGAGCCTTTTTTGATCAAAATGTTTTTGTTGAAAACTCTATAAATGCCTAATATTTCTGTTTTTAAGTGGCCATGCCCAAAATTACATTGGAATTAGTACTAAATAATATTTTAATATCATTTGATTATTTTATGTCTTGAAAGCATAAGCCTTTGGCACAATAAACACAGTAGTTGGACAACAGAGTAACCTTTTTCTTGTTAACTCAAATTTCTCACCCTTAACCAAATTTATTGGTTTATATTTTCCAAACAGCTGTACAATAATTCAATTAAAAAATAGTTTATTTTTAATTGGGTACCAGTGCCTCACATTTGTAAGAGGTGAAATAGTTTAAACAGATGCTTGAAAAAGAGAGTCATTCAGAGATTTTCCACAAAATCTCGTTTTACGCTTGGTTTTGGTTTTCTCTCCAAACAATTCCTGCCGAATAGTATTCGCTTGGATGGTCTTAATATTATGACTACTAGCTGCAACCTTGGCAGCAAATGGGAAATTAGACGTGTCCGCCGGACCAGAAGTTTCTGGAACATAGGGAGGTTGGACTCTTCGATTCAGAAGCTGCAGCCAGTCGATGTTTTTGAACCACGGATGTTTTTTCACGTCTTCTGCTCCGTTTTTGAGATTACCCAATCTGAATGTGACGTCCTTTTGGAGGAGACCACGCAACAAGCTTTTGAGTTGAGAACTGAAGACGCTGCGCATGGGAACTGGCGCATACAGAATCATCGTGAAGAGTTCTACACTATCTTTTGCAATGTAAGGTGGTTTTCCATAGGCCATTTCGAAAATCAAAATCCCGAGAGACCACCAGTCAGCGCTTCTTGCGTACCCGGAGCCTTCGACAACTTCTGGTGCCATGTATGCTGGAGTTCCACAAATCGTATATGTTCGTGAACTCACCTCCTTTGCTAAGCCGTAATCTGTGATTTTCAGAAACCCTGTGTGATCTACAAGTATGTTTTCAGGCTTCAAGTCTCTGTATACAAAATGGATGTACTGGAAAAACTCCAAAGCTAAAACTACCTGGGCTGCGTAGAAACGTGTCATGCTCGATTGGAAACGCCCAAACTTCTTGATCAAATTGTAAAGTTCCCCTCCTCTAACAAATGGCATCAAGAAGTATATAGCGTCTTTGTCGTGACAATAGTGTTCTATTCTAACACAAAAAGGGAAGTCCATACCGAACAAGACTTGTTTCTCCAAATAAACACGGTGTGAACTTTCATTCTGCTTTATTTTCTGCTTCAGTTGAACTTTTACAGCATAGTAATTGTCAGAGTCCTTTTCCCTGACGAGTTTCACTGAACCAAAAGAGCCTCTGCCTAAGGTAGCTAGAGCCTCAAAGCCTTGAATTGAAATGTCTGAGTGAAAAACGGTGTTGTGTCTTCCAATGAATTTTTCTTTTGATTCTTCTAAAAATGCTTTGTAATTTTGGATGTCGAGAGGTCCATACAAAGGTAATTTTTTCCCCTGCTTTGCCAGAGCTTCAGCCATACTCTGCCATGACTTCGATAGTCTAGAATAACAAAGCAGTTGCAAAAAAACCCTAAGATTCAGGAAATATCTGCACAAGTTTTTAAAGTATGAAGATAAAGCTGCAGCATAAGTGTTTGATTTAAGTAAAGAAATATCACAAATTTTGACATTATTTTTGTGTTCTACGAGATATTTGAGGTTATGTGTATGTTTGTAAATAAAGTTGAGTTGACACACCAGATGTTTGGAAGATCTTTCTTGAAAATTCTCTAGAAATTTGTCTCCCCATAGCACTGGTTATTGCTGTCTAATTCAAGTTATCAAGCTCCTAGCTTGAACCAGCTGACGTGTGTGGGGAGTACACAGTAGAAACATGAATCAAAAAATCTTAAGTAAACAGCCAGAATTGACCAGTGGAACGACGTTCTCACTCAGCTTTTGCCAAAAATCCTATAAGCTGGTCAGTACATAGAAATGGTTAGCGCATCCACACTGGAAAAATTCACGACTAAACCACTAGAATTTACAGGATGACATTCCAAAGATAGAATCAGCAAGGCCAATTAATATGGTACAGATTATCCTAAAGACTTACCTATGTGTAAGCTTATTGTTGAAGCAGATGCAACGATGACATCCAAGTTTTAAACAAGTAAGATTATTTTAGGAAAATCACTTGGCTTGAGAAAACACTACTTACTTAAGATAAGAGCTCCAAGCAGTTGATAGAACACAAAAATCTCACAACATTAATTTAATATTCTTCCCCAACAAGGGAGCTTCTTCAGAAAAAAATTAGGTACTGTCTAACCTTAAAAAAATAACAAACCTCAATATAACCAATTAGATATAACGAACCCTGTTTTAATGAAATCCTTGATATAACGAATATTCAGTTCAGTTCGATATCCTTATATTCGTTATATCAAGGTTGGACTGTAGTAGAATTGTTAGAGCCTTGAAGGAGTGAACTATCAAATTAATTGTGTAGTGAATTTTTGTATGCATCAACAGCATTGAACCCTTTTCTCGAGTATGTTATTTACTATCCATTCTTTCTTAGTATATTCCTAAAGAAATGGTTTTTCCTCCGTTCCTCTTTTCTAAAAACGGAAATCCACTTGGGGAGAAAGGTTTTCTCTAGACTGTCAAAGAAGATAGTTTGTAAAGGAACTAAGACAATTAAAAGCTTACACGATTTATTTTTCAAAATCAAGTTACAAGTCTAACCCATTTTCGGCAACCCCTTCAAACCTCCGGCTCCTCCCTTCGCTACAATAGACACTGTGACTTTGACGCACACAGGTCCATTGTTGCTGACACCTTGTATTATGCCTTCGTAGTCACCTGCCATCATCTTCATGTGGTCCTTGTATTTGGCTACGCTCACACCCTTAGGGTCGCCACAGATTTCACCCTTTAACAAAATAACACCAAGTTAAACAGGTATAGAGTCAATTAAAGTGGCAATAGGATTGGGCAAGAGCACAAGAACTCTTTCACCGTTGCTTTTGTTATGTTCTTACCCAGAACTTCTGGTAGCCAATAGTATAAAACTAGGGATGTCATCGAGGTTCTTGTAATTCACCTATAGGGTCTGATGATTGGAGTGTACAATCAAAATTGATCACCACCTACCATTATTTTCAAGAAGGTGAGTCTTGTGAGTATCTTCAAACCTGGAGTTTGCTGGCCGAATACTAGCGATACCGTTTCTGGACCGAGATGCCATTTATAATTGGGCTATCGTTTTGTTATCCAAGTAAACGTCGACGTTAGATAGTAACGATAGCAGTGTTTGAACCGTTGCCTTACAAAAAAAAACCTGTGACGTTCCAACAAAAACAAATGAAAAAAATAAAACAACTTTTAATCTACTTTGTTATATTCACAGAAATCAAATAGTTGACAATGCATTTATTATTTTAAGCATTTTAGATATTTATTGGCCTTGAACACCGAAGAAGTACCGTAGTAGAACTACACTACTGTATTAAATTTAGCAACTTTAAATACTCTTTACTCTGTAAAATCAATATTTCATCTGTACTTTTCTCAAAATATTTCACATAACCGTACAGTTGTAGTTGTGTTAACTGTTAGTGTGAATTGTTATTGTGGTAAATAGTGGTAATAGGGTATAGTGTGGTGAAAAATAGCGTTCGTACCACGGGCCGAAATGGTTTTGCAGCTCTCGATCGTATTAAAGTTCTTGACTTCGTCTCGAACTTAAAAACCGATCTCGACCGGCAAAACCTAATTTTTGGCCCTAGTTACAAAATAAACTATTTTAAAGAATGACAGAGTAGACAATTGCGAAACCAGAGGGTTATTATTGTTTAAACTTCTTTCAACATCAGTATTTTTACCACAAACTCCTTTTGCAATTATAGCTCGTTAAGTATTTTCAATGCCTTAAGTTATTCATAATACTGTATTATACTTTAAAATGATACACTCGACAGATTTTATAATACTCACGGCCTTCAAAGGACATTTTTGCTCCAAGTTTAACATTTTGAACACCAACGACACTTCTGGATTCTTCTTTGAGTCCTTGAAGAGTTTGCAAAGATCCTCTTTTCCTTGGAATTTGATTGGTGGCATTCCTTTTTTCTCTATTTTGTAGGTCCCCTGAAATTATTTAAAAAATTGCTGGGTGGTATATGATCGAATGGTAATCAAATTCTTCCCTGTTTCATCCTAAGAAAAGACAAGTTTTTGATGGTTCGTAACTGATGTCTGGCCTTGATCTTTTGACCCTGAAATATTTTTTAATTTCTCTATCAGGTAATTAGTTTTTTACGTTAAGTCTTTTATCATACGTGCATTTCAAAACAATATAAATAAAAGAGAAAAAAATCTGACTCCTCCTCTATACTAATGTAGAAAGAAGCAAAAATGTGTTACTATGCAATCCCTATTTAACTTAACAATGCTGTCATCCATCCAAGCTGGCTTATTTAAGGTGGGCCTCTCCTACCAGCTAAGCCAAACATTAGAGTAATTAGAGAAAGTAAAAAAAATCAAATAAAAGTTTTACGTACATTTCCCCAGTCGATTTGTTTTGTGACTTTGATGCATCCTTTCACAACTACAGTGCAGTCGTCTCTCAAATCTGGAACGACATTGTCAAATTGTATAAGTCCGTTTTTGTCTCCGCACATTTCAACCTTCAAGTTTCTTGCTTCGTATCCATTCTGAAAAATAACATAATTTCAGAGTTCAATCCAAAATACAATTATGGTTTAACCCCTTAACCGCCGTCTAAGTAGCCTAGTCAAAATCCGCCATTGCCACTTATTTTTGCCGTTTTTGACGATTTTTACTTGTGATTTAATAATCTGTACCAGTTGTTTTTCTAAAGAAAATAGTTATCAATATATTGTTTGTAGACATCTTCAAAAACATTAAGCTTTAACAATACCCTACTAAAATTTGTGATTGTGGGGGGGGGGGGGGGTGGGGTTCGGGGGTTTCTTGAGTTAGGCCTATAATAAAAATTAGGCCTACAATAAAGTCTACAACTCTAATAAATCGTCATCCTCAAGCATGTCACCAGCCATTACGACTAATATTTACTACTCATTCAACACTACCAAGTAAATAACCACCAAAAAACACAATTATAATGACACGCATAATGTACGTAAGCATTACGTAAGCTTCCGCAAGCACGAGTTTCACTGAAACTACGAACGGAACTGATCGGGACCATTACTGACCTATAATACCACTAAAATCCACCAGATTGCAGCACTAGTCAAGCAGCACTGTCAACAACTTGTTTACGTACGTATATCAGAGATAAGGCGGGAAGTGAGCTGTTAAAAATAAAACACAACAGCTGATTACGTCAACACGAGAACTCGTACGTGGCGGTTGCTCTGAAAACTAGTATCGCCCGGCATATCTCGTGCGTGGCGGTTAAGGGGTTAAAGGCAGATTTTAATATTGTCAAGATGTCAAGCTTTCAAGGAAAATCCCTAGTAATTTGTAATACCCCCATCGCAGCAAGCCTGCAAGACTAGGAGCATTTCAATTCGTATGATTGGATTTTTACTCAAATATTTCCATAAACAAGTAATTCTTTTTTAATTAAATAACATTATATAGCAAGTCCTTTAGTTTCCTACTAAGGGAAGGGAAAAACTGTTTTTTGATCAAATGTTAAAATAGTATAAGACAAAATGAATAAATTTGCCGTATTTGATGCAAAATACTATCCATAAACGAACTACAAGAGTTTTCTTCTTCTCCATTTTTAAGATGTGAATTTAAAACGAAGAGTTTTTTTCAGTTTTCTCCGTAACCTTTAATTGTACAATAATGCTCCAATATATATATTTTTTTATTAGCTCTACACGATGGTTGCAGTATAAATTGGGTATTTCCATAGTAAAAATTAGAGAAAAAAATTGTAGAACATAAAATCCCATAACACCCTGTCTTCATTTCATTACCCGATCTTGCTGGTTCGCAAACTCAATCAAGTTTATTCAGTCAGCTCAACACATTCATGACGAATTTAATCAAAATCAGACCAAAATTACTAGAACTATCATTTTTACGGACATAAATATATTCATAGTGTTTTTGGCCTTTGGGGACATCCAAATAAAAATTATCTCGTTCCCAGGTCTTGGGTATTTCCTTACCAACTATGGTAATAGGTACTTTCCTATAGGGAAATTTGCTAATATCCCCTTAGTACATGTTACACGTTCAAAGATTATACTTTAATATTTTACAATGAAATGGGGACCATACATCTATAAATCACAAAACCACTCCAACAAGAGAAATAACTACTTACGCATGCTAAAGCTGTAGATACGAAGCTACATACGACAAAAGCTATGAAGACGACCATTTTCCCCAGTCGCAGTTTTGGCGGGAACAGCAGTGACAATGTAGCCCGATGTAAAGATGAAAATCATCCAAGGTTGGAACATGTTGTTTTTATCAGCTGATCAATAATGATAGCCACTTCCTTTTGTTCATTCATGCCAAAAAACCTTGAAATGTTTTTGGTTTAGCTCGCACCATATAACTGATGTTACACTATAATTAAATGAATGATATCCAACTGATTCATTATATTTCGCCTGTGAATGATTACCGTTGCTGTTCTATTCTGTTTGAAATGATCACATAATTACAACATGCTGTTTTAAGAGTAGTATATAATTAACTTAAAAATTAAAGAGAGTTTTCAGAAGAAAAATAATAAATGATTATTGCTCCGCTTGAAAATAAATGTGTCACAAATAATAACAGTATGACATAATGAAGAGCCTATAAATAAATAAAATACCCTCTAAGAACATATAAACCACAAAATAATATTTTAATTTATGTTCATATTCGGTTTTCCATAAATTTTACTCCCTCTCTTTTAATTTAAACTCTGTATCCACTGTTACTGACTAAAAATTAACAATACAATAAAACATTTCAATTATATGTAATTGTAAGAAATTTATTTTTATAATTTGAAATACCTCCAGACGTTTTTTAGTTCAGTGCACATCCTTATTGTTTAGCAGCACCAAGTTGGCAGTACTTTCCAAGGGCCTTGAGTTGTGGTGGACTCTTGAGTACAAAAATAAATAAGTTTCTCTTCTAAATTAGCCAACTCCCGGTCGTATGCAGTCTTTACAATTTCCAAATCAAAAAACAATTTTCTCGGACTAAATTGTTCAAAACTCATCTTAGAAACAGCTTGACTGACATCAGGATCTTTAGATAGCTCGATTACTATTTCCTTCTTATTTTCAAGCTCCATCAACATACTTTCCGCAGACTCTACGAGAAGTTTCCTTCTGGATGCTGCATGATTTCTAAACTGGACCAATGATTTGACAAATTTCGGATCAAACCTATCTTCGGGAGTTTTCTTTTCACTCAACAAGTTCAGAGCGGTATCACTCTCATTTTTGATTTTGTTCAAGTCACTGTTAGTGTCGTTCAACAATCGCCAGTTGTTTTCCAAACTTAAAAGATCCTTTCTGTAATTCGCCAACTGTCTTGACAATTCTTTGACATCAGCCTTAGATTTATCTAAAGGTTTTTGCAATCGTTTGTTCTTTTTCTTCAGGATATCAATCTCATCGCTCATGATAACTTTAGTTTTGCTGATCCTGTCCAAACTCGCTTTCATGTTTGATATAACAACTAAATTTTCAGATGTGATGGAATTAAAAAAGTGTTTCAACTCGGTCAATCTCTTCTTGTGAATGTTCCTCAGTTCCATCAAGTGACAGTTCTTCCTTTCTTCCACTTCTGACGTTTCCATTTCATGTCTAAGTCTCATCTCATCTTTCATCTCCATCAAACTTCTTTTGAATTCCAATTCCTTTTGTATATTGTCCTCCTCAATTTTCTTTCCGAGTTTCATTATTTCCAACGCATGATTTTTCTTCAAGTTCGTCAGCTGTTCTTCATATTTCTCCTCATTTTCTCTCAGCGTCTCCTTCATTCTTCTTTTCTCCTCCAACAGTTCCATCATTTCTCGCGTGTTTTCTTCCTCTGCACCAGTTATCAGTCCATTTTCCCAGGTCTTCAGATGGTCGAGGTTTAACTTGTGGTCGTATTCCAAGTACTTGAATTCCTGATCCACTTCTTTGACCTGTTGTCTGAAGCACTCTTGCGCTCGCTCCACTTCCGTCTCTGTATTCACTGCTGCCGTCTCAGTTTCTCTTACCTGATTAAAAAATTAGCCGTGATTACTTTAGTTGTACCTTGAAACCTGCTTGATTTGAATTATAATGACTATTTCAGCTCATATTTTCAGAAAATTTAAGATGGACAGGCACTGTACTGTCCAATCAATAGTCCAATTTACCTATGAAGAGACAGCGCATGACAAATTTTTTTATTTAACTTTGGTGTTTAGTTTACATATTATGAACATTAAACTTTACCGTTCACATACATTGACAACATTTAAATATCTTAATTTATCGTTTTACTGACTTCTTATCCTTAAATTTTTCAACAATTACTAATGAACTGTGTTTGTAGTTGATGAGTTTTAAGGTTTTAAGTTTTACGAGTTAGTAATTAAACTCCACTATTCAAGATATTTATTGTGTATAATGTTTAAAAAAAATGGTAAAACAAAGAAGTTGGTTGATTCTACTCATACCTCATGCCTAAGATTGGTGAGTTGCGTCAGCAGCTTGTCTCGATGCAGCATGAGCTGACTCCGCTCGGACCGCTGCAGCAGCAGACGCTCGTACAGAGTCAGCGACAACTCCTGGAGCCGTTGGTACGTAATGTTGGGTGCCGTGATGTCCATACCCTCTACAATCACGGGAACTGCTTTCACCTTGGTCGCCATGGCCTAGTCTGAAAAAGGCATCTAGATATGGGGCACCTCAACTTTTATCAAAAAATTAATGCGAATTATTGGCAGTTCCTCTTAAAAAAATGAACTGGGTTTTCCTTGTAAAAATGTAAAAAAAAGTTCAAGTTAACTTTTGACAATCAATACATTTTGGAAATAAAATGTGGGATTCATACAAACCTGTACGCTTTTATGCTTATTGTTTTAAATTAACCTCTCTGCATACCTATACATACATACAACATTTATATATTATGAAATTAAACGGGAGTTTTTTTTGTCCTCTGGGGACATCAAAACGAAAAAGTAAATCAGTTCCGGATCCAGGTCTTCCTATAGACCTACGGTAATAGCTTATTCCCTATATGGGAAATTTGCCAACAAAATTATTTAAATTAGTTGACTTTTATAATAATTGTAGAAACTTTAAAGGAAACACCACATTCATTTAGTGAGAAAATTCAAAATAACAATGACAAATAAATATAAATATAACATAAATTAACAATAAATTTGTAACAATAGACTAAGGACTAAGGAGTAATGAAACATGTTGAATAACCCATTAATGGAAATTACTTTTAATTGATATCGATTCACTATAAAGACTGGTATGTCATTAGAATTTTTCAGACAAAAGGATTAATTTTTCACTTTAACTAATCAATCTGCTTCTTCATAATCGTTCATAATTACTCCCTAAACATTCATTCTTGTTATATCTGTGCTTTGTGTTGAAGTTTCGGAAAACTCTGTTGAAAATAAGTTCATAAATATGGCCACTGATCCATTTTACGAGACGATAAAACCGACCGTGTATCTCGCGAGAGCGTACGCACTTGTTCCGTTCTCACTGGAATCTGGAACTCTTCAATTGCTGAACTTGACGATAACGACAGTCGTCACTAGTTACTACGTCTACGGAATCACCGAAGTCTACTCGTCCATGTACCACAACCCGATCCTGCCAAAGTTCGAGAAAATGATGTTAATACTGCAAGTGACTGCTACCAGTTCAGTCGCCATTTCGTCATGGCTCGTCAACCATTTGTGGTACAAAGACATCGTCTCGACTTTGAAAAAATTGCTGAACGTAGAAAGTCTTTTAGTCTCGCAGGATTTACATGTCGATGTAAAGTACCGTAGAAAACTGCAACTCCAGTTTATCGTAACCATAGCTTTCTTCTCGTTACAGAACGTCATGGACAACTTTATTCTCGGCGAGAATATAATCGCGTTGTTTATCATCTACACGATCGCGATGTTGACTTTGAGTCATTTTCTACTTCTGATTTGCTTGTGTAGACGGTACTATTCCTTCATCAATGACAAAATCAAAACCCTCGGAGAACTTTCACCAGAAGGACTCGCCGACATTTTTAAACTTTCAGAAGAAATGAACTCCTGGGGGAGAAAGACTATTCCTTTTCAGAACAGAAATTCTTTCAAACACTCGTTGAAGACTGTAATGGAATGTCACAGTGAGTTATTCATCGTCTGCGGTTCCATCAACAAATATTTTGGCCTGCAAATATTGCTGAATGTGACGGCTAACATGTTGAATGTTACGAGTATTTGCTACTACGTTCCCGCCATCGTGATTGACGAGTCGGACAAACCACATCATTACATGATCATCAGCATCAAGTCTGTGTCGTTCATCGCTCTCTTCGCGTTCTCCCAACTTTGGATCATGGCGCATATCTGTTCTTCTACTTGCGATGAGGTAGGTTGTTGATAATTTATGAAGTCAGACAAAAATTTGATTTTTATCTCTTAGAGTAATGGAATGAATTGAGAAACAATTTTATGTTCTGGCATTTTTTAAATAGGTATATCATACTGAAGATTTCCTACTTGACAATGCCGACGAGGTATCAGTTTCAATATATGTAAGGATGGCTATAAGTTTTCAGAACAGCATCAACTATGAGGTATGTAATGATCAATCAATGATTGTAGTAATCTTAAGGGTTATAGTGAAGTTTCAAAGTAAAAGAAATGTAGTTGATCAAGCTATGCATTCAGTGCTACACAAGCAAAATTAAATTCTAAATAAAGTTTCTGGGAAAAAAGGAAAAAGATTTTTGATTTTTAAATGCAGGGAAATTTATTAGGTACTCCTACTGTATAGTGTATAGCCTTTTATTTTTTTCAAACAGTATATAAAGTACCGGGTAGTATAGGATAATTGTACTTTAAATTAATTAATCAATGACTGTTATAACAACAAAATTACAACAGATCCAAAGTAACATTTGCAAAGTTTTTTTTTCAATGCTAAAAAAATGTATACATTTGAAAAATTAGTGCAATTTTTCTTATTTAGGGAATGATAGTAATATAAACACTGTTACCATCAATGTTATTAAAAACCATAAAGTACCTTTAAATCCTGTGTAACAATCCGTAGGTGACTGTGACAGTTTTATTTGTTATCAGGCTAACAGCACTGGGATTTTAGTACATGGAATCTCCAACCAACCAAAGTTCTCTTGTTTTTCAATTGAGGTAAGATAAATGGGATTTCGTTACAATAAATACAGTTTACTAGGCTTGAAAATAACCTTAAAACATTACTTTCAATTGTTTATTTTACTGTTTGTTTATAAAGTACAAATTAATGACAAGCAGCAGAAATGATATCAGCTGTTAATATTAATTTATTCATTATGTAATTTTATGCTGTTATCAAACATTTGTTAGGGTTCCAATCTCATTTTCCTCTTCCAGAAACTGGTGAGAACCTTTACTGCGAAGGAGTCGGGGATTGTGGGAGAGTCCCTCACGTCAATTTTAGAAAATCTTTAAATTTATTTTATAATTTTTAATTATAAATAAATTTTGAATTTGTAATTATAAAATTAAACTGTCATAACTTAACCTAACCAACCAAACTTGCTGATAATATAAAAAAGATATAAGATAAAAATCAAATGAAAGGTTTACTTATAATAATTTTTAATCATAAAATTAATTTTAAAATTTTTTAATATAAAATTTAACTGTCCTAACAACAAAATTAAACCTAACTTAACCAACCAAACTTGCTGATAAGATAAAAATCAAATGAATGTTTACTTATAATTTTTAATTATAAAATTAATTTTAAAATTTTTTATTATAAAATTAAACTTTCATAACCTAATCGAATCAACCAAACTTGCTGATAATTAAAAAAAATATAAGATAAAAATCAAATGAAAATTTACTAATTTAAAAAAAAGTTAAAAGTAAAGAAAATAAGCAAAATCTTGGACAAAAAGTTAGTGTCGTCGGCGATAGTCGAACCGGAGACCCTGTGATCACCAATCCGAGGCGCTATCAACTAAACCACAAACACCGATGGAATCAAAACGTCTCGTTACGCTAATGGTGTTCCCTCAAGAGTAAAGTGACGTCACGCCCCCCACTCCTTCGCAGAAAAGGTTCTCACCAGTTTCTGGAAGGGGAAAACAAGGTGCTATAGTTCCAATGAGCTTAATTTTCATCTATAATCCTTGTGCTAGTAAATGATTCTTACTGTATAAAAACCATCTAATAATGGACAAAAGATCATAAAATATCTAATAAAAAAATTTTCAGCTTGATGCGTTCTACACTCAACTTCTCCACCAAAGAATCAACTTCTCGGCACACGGCTTCTTCGCTATAGACTTTACGTTGATCAACACTGTAAGTTTCAAGGGTTGTTTGATTAATTATACAAAGTAAATTAAAAGTAACTACTTTGATGGGGTTTTTCCTTTGGTGATCCCTTCAAAAAGTCTAATCCGTATTGTGTATGATTAAAACAAAAACAAGCAAGCAACATTTTAAGTTTAAGTTAATTTTTGTACTGAAAGATTTTTCATCCTTATAAAATGTACACGAGTTTTCTCTGTTGAATTACTAATGTAATGTGATTTTTCAGGTTATAGGAGTGGTGATTACATACATTGTGATCTTGATTCAGTTCCAGATGTCCAATGAAACTCCAAAATCAACAAATTCAACAGCTGTTAATATGCTGATGGAAAATACCACTACTAATATGTTATAAAATTAAAATGCGACAAATTATGTTTAAGGTTGGGCAAAGTGTTTATTTCTTTTAACCAATTTATTCTTCTGAATTAAATTAATACTAATTGCTCCATCTTTACTAAATTGTTTTCAACTTAAATACATTATATCTCCTTAAAGATATAGCTGCAACCTATCCCTCAATAAAAACCCAAGGAGATTAAGAAAACAAGATTCCTATTAAATATATATTCAATACAATGTACAGCATGTGCTACGTCTATGACTTCTTGGGAGCGGCTTGCTCTGCTTGGTAAGAAGCTTCTTCTTCAGTTTCCTGGAAAAAGCGAGACTCGCTGTCGTTCTTGATGATGGCGACCATCTCTATCTCCTTCTCAGGTTCAGGCTCTTCGGTCGTCGTAGGAGGGGGTGGCACAGCCTTCTTGACTGTCTTCAAAACCTTGGAGGCGGTGGACGACTCCGCCTTCTTAGACTGGAAAAGGGAGATTTGGTAAAATCTCTAAGATTTTTGGGATACACTTAGATAAGAACTGCGTACCCAACTCAACTTACATCCTTGAATACTTATAGCTTTGTTTTGTGTCTATCTACATCTGTGCTATTGGTGTTTTTTATGTTTTTTAAAGGGAACGGTTCAAACCCTGGTCTTGTTACCAACATGGACCTTTTGTTGGATAGCACCATTGATAGCCCAAAGTCAAATGGCATTTGGGTTCAGGAAAAATCTCGCGGAATTGAACCCGCGACCTTTGAGGTGAGGTACAACTATGAGGTAGATATGAGTAAGCTAGCCAGGCTACACCTAATTTTTCCTCATTTAATCTTTTGAACTTGGTGTTGTTTGAAATGGAGTTAATGCTTGATAAAAGTATTCTAGGTATTTTTCATAAAATCAGCTATGTTTTAGTAATTTTAATTATAAAAATTAAAATGGCCGCCAAGATAATTTTTTCTAACATATCTTCTACCTTACCATACATACCATGTTCCATAAAGATTGGTTTAATCAATTTAAAGATAAAAATGTTAGTGCAAAAAATACAAAATAGGAGATATTTTTGTAAAAAAAAGTGATTTTAGAAAAAAAATCCTTTAGTTTCTCTTTAATTTGATCTAACTATTTTTTGGCAGTTTTTTTTTTATGACACCCTTTGTATTTTCACAAGTCACATTGACAAGAAATTATTATTCCCTAGCAGTTAAGAATTATTTTATATTATAAGTTCTTAAATTGTACTTACCGATGAGTCCTTTTGGGAGACAACTTTTTGATCGGGTACCTGAAAAAGGATTAATTTAAAATTACTTAAATATACTTGCAAATAAAACTCATTTTTTAAATATTAGCTTATTCAATGCACTTTTCCTTAGATATTTTTTCAGATAATCTACCAATAGTCGATTTATTAGACATCAATCTAACATAACGCAAAACACTAATTTCCTTTTTTTATTTGTAAAACAAATAGTAAAAATAATTGCATTAAAATTTTAATATGAATCCATTCCACAAACAGACAATAATTATCGCTTTACAGGAAAGTGAATAAGTTGACAATAATTATTGCTTTTGTTCATAAAAAAATACTGTACAACAATTAGTTTTACAAGTATATGACAAGTTTTGGTTTAGCATAGGTAGTAGCAATATTTAATTATAAGCGATATACAAAATTCTTGTTGGATTAAGTAAACTAAGCATACCGTTCCGTGTTAAAACGTACAACCTAAAGTAATAGCAATTAAAATTATAACCTAGAATTGTTATATTAAAATCTGTTTTAGACTAGACATTTTTTATGTATCTTAAAATTATTACCGGATAAGCAGAAGCCAGGCAGAGACAGGCAACAAAGACTAAAGCGAAGACAGCCTTCATCTTTAGTTGAGCGGAGAACAGATTCTGGAAGTACTGTTGATAATCAGCTGTTATATACAATCAGCTGTTTAAGCTGTCTAAACATATGTGATTGGCAATATTGTCTTTATTGTCAACTTGGACAAACTTTGCAAATATGTTTACTCTCATAATGAACGCTTTGTCGAATTATAAGACTGTGAAAGTTCTTGTGTAATCAGTAAATAAAATATTTGTACAAACTTAAATATATAGCAATTATATTATATCGTCCTCAAAAAAATAATTAAATAGACCCCTACTATTAAATGTATTATAAAAGTTACTACTTACATTTTAAAAGTGTTCCATAATGGTTAAAAAAGTTTATTAAATATTTATAGTTTAACCTTTTGTTGTAACATTTACTTTTTTTATACTTTTGCTAATAATCAAATCCAACTAAGCTTTACTAAAGTAAAAAAATCATTCTAAATGTTACCTTAAGAATTATCAGCAGTGAGAAGTTTATCAATGTTTTGTAATTTTATGAAATATCTCTTCAAAAAATTCTAGTCTTGACTCTTCTTTAAATATTCATCCTTGAGATCCTATCTTTTGTAAAAAAGCATCAGTTGATATTTAATACCAACACTAACTGCAGTACATAATCATTACGCACATCTTACAAATTAAATACCCTTGTCCATTTAACTTTATTTTTTCAAATAAATAACTTCTTGATCAGCATTGTAGGTGTTATTAAATTTACGGAAAGTAAATAAAATATGTCTTATAACACTTAAAACATATATTTACACTTATACTGTTACTCACAAGACAGTAAATATACAAAAGATGGTAAGTGTGGTGATCGATTTCGATTGGACACTCCAATCATCATCAGACCCAATAGGCGAATTGGGATTCGCTATATTAGATTCGCCTATTGGGTCTGATGATGATTGGAGTGTCCAATCGAAATCGATCACCACTTACCATCTTTTGTATATTTACCGTCTTGTGAGTAACAGTATAAGCGTAAATATATGTTTTAAGTGTTATAAGACGTATTTTATTTACTTTCCGTTATTTTTTCAACATCATCTTTTGTACAATGGAAAAAAAATTAACTACCTCAACCTACCAAAGCTGGACACTGATTTGGTCAGGTTTAGGAAAGAGCTAAAAAACATATTAGTTGAAAAGGCTTGCTACATTTTTGATTCCTGTATGATCTGACAAAAAAGTCAAATAGTTATTATTATTCATTGTGACCCTTGGTTGGAATTCAATTAAGAAATCAAACTACAACTTTGAGTTTGAAATATACTGAAAGCCAACTGCAACGGACTACACTATTCATAACATCAAATTACCCTTGGTCACACAAACTTGCAGCTTATAACTCCGTGGTCTATAGACTATCATCGTACCCTTGGGCCAAGAAGCTTATGGTAAAAAAATTTGACCAATGTAACATTCTAATTGATCAGACTTCTTTTCAGTCAAGTATTATATTTGATACATGTAATGACAAGTTGCAAATAAAAGAGGTATAAAATAAGAAGAACAAAACAAAACTGCAATACAGGTAGCACTGGAGAGAAAAAGAAACATAATGATTCAGTCAGTTTTATTTAGTCAGTGGCAGTAGTAGACAGTGCTGGCCAGTGGCCAGTCTGTACAGTTTTATAAATGTTTATTCCATTTTAACTATTTTATCAACATGACAAGTATCAATTATTGTGATTGTGACAGTTTTTTTTAAGGATTTATTGACATACCACAATGTATTAATACATTGATGATGTGGTTGCGTACAAAATTACCTGATGAAGTTCTAAGGAACGTAACTAGTCGTCATGCCAACAACTGTGGTTGTATAAGGTAATCATTTTATTTGATTAAAAATAGTTTTATTTGTAGTCTTTTCTTTTGTACACATTACCTTAATCAAGAGATGTTAATTTCACCATCGTAACAGGACTTTTCAAATACACTGTATTTTTGGTAATTATCATATAAAGAACTTATGACTTGTAACAAATCAATGTAAAGAAAAACACACAAAAATAGAAACAAATATATTCAATTATTCAAAAGTCGAGTGCACAGATGAGTGCAACGCCGCGTTTGATCCAGTGATTCGAGCGCAATTGTGTCGGCAGTTCTACAGTGAGTACGTAGTTGGTCGAGTGTCCTGTCGTAGACAGAGTGCCGGCGCGCACCTGTGTCTTGTATACCGGTGCATCATACACACCGTCCGGCGTGCGCTGGTGATCGACTTCGGGCAGTAGCCAGATCGGGCTCATCTCTGTAAGATACATGGGAATCAAAACTACTTTCCAAATTGTTTATGTTTTGTACTACAAAAAGTGCACTCATTGATTGTACTACTTTTGACTATGTATATCTACACATTCCATTTAATGTTAAATATTTCACTAGATTTAGAATGAAAATGGATGTAGATCATCACTGATTTCTGTTGCATAAATAAGACATTTTTTACCAAATGAAACTTAAAAGATAGATAACTTACAGTAGACTATACTATGGTATCTTGTATGCCACATAAACTACCATATGTTTAAATTTAGAGAAGAAATAAAATGTTAACTTTAGTGCAATCTGTTTATTTTGTACATTGTACATGTTTTACATTGTTTTGTTCACATATTATCCTATACTTGGTTGTCTAGAATGTGTGGAATTAAAACCTCCATAAAGGTAAAGAACCCTGAAAATTTCTTTATCCAAATAAAGAAAACAAACTTGATACTAAATTGGTATTGAGTTGTCCCAAGACAAGAATGCTCTTCATCCTCGTCTAATAATCATCAGGATTTATCCAAAAATATATATTTATCAGATGGTACAATACTGGATCCCGTTATCATATGGGTTTCCATTATGATAATCCTGGCTAAAGACACAGCTGTACTAAACAGTAAATGTGCAAATTTAATATTTGGGTTTAAATCATCCCCTGAGTTTAGAATATTAGTGTATGTCTTCGGCAAAACTCAAATGTTTACCTGTATACAGCTCCTTGGGTCGAGACTCGTCGAGACAAAACTTGTCCGAATCCCATCTCGCTCCCTCCAGAAACAGACCGTAAATGACACAACCGTCGTCTGGCCGCTTGGTCGGTTTCTCTTTCAATACCTACAAATAATTCTTGCATAAAATTGCCAGCTATGTTTCAGAATTTGTATGCAATTTAAAAGAATCCCTGTGAAAGCCTATATCATGCATTTTCAAAATCCTCATAACATACAAGATTTCTTGTAAGTTAAAAGATGTTTGAGAACTGGAAAAGTTGATTGTAGATGGTCGTAAGTTGAAGAGTAAAATAAATTGAATGGCAGAAAGTGTGGAATATTGGAATATTCTAATATTCACAACATGGTTGTAATCAGAGAGTAAAATTTAAAAAAAAAGATTTTTGATCTATCAACAGTAAGATTGGTTTTCAAGCTATTTAATTTTTTTAAGTCAATATTTCTAACAACTGTCTTAAAATATACAACAAGTAAATAAAGACAAATTACTTTAAAACTGTAGTCAATAGAATCGATGGCCAAGACGTATTTCCTCGCAAAGTTCTGCAGACAGCCAGTCAGAAAGGCTTGCGGGAAGTAGAACCCTGAGATCCAAAAGCAAGGGGGAATCCCATGGTCTATCCAGTTACCCAGGAAACGGATCCGTTCTTGCAGATCCGAGACCCATGAACCTAGAAAAACAATGTGACAAAAGCTATGCGATAAGTTTATCCCTGATCTACCCTCCATAACAATCTTATTTTATTTGTCATGATTGGCATTTATAAGAATTAATAGTTGATATATTTGAATATCTCCTCCAAACAACGTTTTAACGTTTTGCAAAGTCATATCTTGTGAAATTAAGATTTTTAAAGAACGAAGATGCAAACAACATTTTCTACTGCAAGGAATATTTTGTTTTTTAAGTACATAGGTTGGCAGCACTTAAAAGCGATTGAATGTACAGGAAACTGGCTGTATTGGCTTGGGGCTGCCAAAGCTTTGAATTTTCTGGGAAAAATTATTCACTTCTGTCTTTTGTCATCACTTGCAACGTTGTTTGATGGAGCTATTCATTTAAAATAAACCAAAGTTTACCTTCTTGCGCAAGAAGGAAAAACCCACTACGATCCCATCCTGAGGACCAGGAAGAATTTAAAATCGCCTACTCCTATAATGCTTAACAATAAGAATCTAGCTGGTCTAGGGGTAGAGCTTGGGACTTCGAAGCCTGAGGTCCTGGGTTGAATTCCCACCAATCACCAATGGATTTTATCTATAGCCCCGCGACCCTCTAGGACTAGCCTGAAGTAATGTGTAAAACAGTTCCAGGCTAGAATCTAGTGTCCTAAGATGTGAAGGTGGGACAAAAAAGAGAAAAAAATTAGGTCTAACGTGAAAAAAAATATAACCACTCACCCAGTGGTTTGAGAGAAGGATAAGCGAGAGCAGCCCACTGAGAAGGGACAACGTTGGTGAACAAACTGTTGGACATCTTCTCCAGGGCGTCGGACATCACCACCAACCCCTCTATGGCCTTCAGTAGATCCTTCAGACTTGAGTGTATCAGACTCAACAACTTGTCGAACCTCACTACTTCCTGGACCAGTACAGTGTTGAGGGACTCCTCATACATCACCGGGTACCTGAAGACAAAGGTATAGTACATTTCTTATTTCTTTTGAAGTCCACCAGCATAATGAAGATTTGGCTCTGGCATTTTTTCAGAATTTCAGGAAGATCGGTGTATTGCCTGCATTACCTTAAGGCCTTGAAAGAATTGTGCAATTCCAAACTAAATTTCTGACAAAAACTTAGTACAACCATTGACTATTGGATACTGATGTAGACATCCCATTCATATGGACCAGTTGTTGCAATTTTTCATTCAAAAAGAACTTAGTTGTGTGAGCCAGTCACAGATTGCACTAGTGTTAAAAATTCTATTTTCTATTAAAGATGCTATGGGGAGTAAGCTGGACTAGTGGTACAGCGCCTGGCTTTGGTGCCCGAGGTCCCCGGTTCAAATCCCGCCAAAAAATCCATGTGATAATGGATTACTATGGATAACTAGGACTATCCTGAAGTAATGTATAAAACATAGTATGTGAAGGTGGCTCATTAAAAAAATTAAAGATGCTATAACTTGCTAAGTAAGCCTTTATTTTATAAAAAAGTCTGCATATTTGACAGAAAACGGTAATTTACAGCGCAATTTGTCGGTGAATCACTTCAGCTACGTCCATTTTTATTAAAAATCTGACAACAACTATAATACGGGAATGTAACATCTAGTACTATCAATAGACAAAGGTACAACACACATGCCACAAATTTTTCACTTCCACAACACCACCTGAGTGAGTTTGAGCAGAAAACCGTCCTAAAAAAGATGCACTCTATGTCAACAATCTACTACGGGACCTTTAGAGAGAGTAACCCAGTCTGTTGAAGAAGCAACTGACATGGCTTCTGGACTGACCTTTATACTTGGCAGTAGGGATGGTCAAGTCTCGAAATTTCGGGAAATTTTCGGGAATTTTTAAATCTTGTTACACGAGACGAGATTTCTTTTTGGCCGAGATTTTTATCGAGACGAGAATAAAAAAAATAAAAAAATGTAAAACGCCTGCGGAAAGTCAATGCAATACCCGCAATACAGGAGCGTGTTGTAGTTGCGTTTCCTTTGCGAAGGCGTTCTTATTTAATTAATTCATTCTTCAAATGTAAATATTACTTTAATTATTTTAATAACATTTGAAGAGTTTTTTGTTAAGTGTTAGCAGTGTGAGGAATGTTGTATTACTATAAAAAAAGTCAAAACAAGTAACTATTTTATAAAAATTAATATTTTATTTTATGATTTATTTTATTTTAGGATAAGTTGAACTCTATCCTAACTGATATCACTATGTTTCCTAATCGTAGGCATTTTTAATAAGTTAGGCGTGATTAATAAAAAAATGTTATGCTGATGTTTTTTAATAAAAGATTGTAAATATTCTTGCCTATTATCATTATTTTTGTATTTAAACAGTCATCTAACAATGTTACAAAATCAGGTAAAAATTCCGAACATGCATTTCCCGTTGTGTATGAGAAGGGAAATCCCGTCTCAGTCTCTTCTCAAAATTTTATGAGAAATAAAAAATCTCGTCTCGTCTCGTCTCGAACTAAAAATCCAATCTCGTCCATCCCTACTTGGCAGATATGTTCTTGAAAAACGAGAGAAAAAACGCATGAATCTTCTTTAAGAATGTGAAATAGAGGTTCACATACCTTTATTCAGAGAAACAGCTGAAATATAACACAGTTGTTCACATGCCGTAGACACTCCTTTTTATGTTTCCGTGATCATTGCAGATGGTGATAGAAAATCTACCGTATTTGGCTATTATCAAATGGTTTAGTTCTGTAGCTTTACATTCAAGCTTGAGCGTCAACAACTGTCATTTTGAGCTGTTTGTCGGATTATAAGGTGAACCTATTTATTAGCTTGAATATAACAGCCCAGGAACTAGAATGGAAATGAACGATAAATCTCTGGGGACATTTTGATACAGAATTTCTCTATTTGTCTATCTTATGCAACTCTCAGTCGGGATTTTAAACAGCTCACAGTACAGTTCAGAAAGAGCATTTTAACGTGTGACGGACCACAAGCAACAGAACTTACCTTATTTGATTTTTCTAGAGACTTTAACTGTATAATTCATAAGCTCCTTTTAGTAAAAGAAGGGTATATATCATCTAGTAATTATTCATTAGATTTTTAATGCAATATCTCTTTTACATTTGAGTAACTTTTATCAAGTGATAAAGTACAAAACTAAATCAGTAGGCTAAGAAATACGACTATCACTTATATTACGATCAAACCTCTCTTGTATGGCCGCAATGTCGACTCGGGGTTGAGGTATTTGCTGCAGCAAAGTTTCCGCAAGTTGTTTGGTAACTTCGTCTTGACTACTCGCAGCTGCCCCGACCATCCTAGGCTGTAGTGACAACAGAACTGCGAGGCCAGCGAATGTTGCGGCCTGCGCGCAGGACATGTCTGCGTTGTCATGCAGCCCAAACAATCCCGGGTGGTCGTTGACCGGAAGTTCTCGGATGTAGGAGAGGTAGTTGATCATCTCCGTTTCTTCAGGCAGCTGAAATACACACAGATTTTTTAGCATGTTTTTTTTATTTTAAACACTTAATTGATGTACGAAATTTCAAATTCAAGATCAAGAAAATAAAGAAGTAAATAAATGCTATATTATTTCTGAGGAATAAATGTTATTGGGCTGTTAAAAAGTAGACTTAAGTCATGAAAACCAATAGAAAACAAAATAATTATTGAGAAAGTAGCCTCTGTTACATTTTGTTCTGTCCTAGGACGCTAGGCTCATTACTTCAGGCTAGACCTAGGGGTTGCGGCATTATCACTTAGATCAAATCAATTGGTGATTGGCGGGATTTGAACTCGTGACCTCTTGAACCGACTGAACCACTCTAACCACTGAAATAAAAACCAAACAAGTGACGATAAAACATTTAGCTTTATTAAAATATGTTTCAAAACTGTATTACTTTATTTTTCATTGTTTCTTTTAAGTCTTTAAAATGTTTTCAACACAAAAATCTCCACAACTCGCACTACACATAAATGGAGGTTACTTTCTGAATAACCCTTGCGTAACAAAACTAGTTTACACTCTAACCTGATGGTAAACACTGTCGCTGTCAAAGCTATGATCAGCTGAGATGACGTCCATGTTGTAATAGTCAGCCAAGATGTTCATTATGCATCGTCTATCCCAGTCGTCGGTGACTCTACCTCCGTAGTTGATATGACCAGCAGTGTACACCAGGACCTAGAAAAACACACTTTGAAACGATCTTAATCAAGGGATAGAATATTAAAGAAAATCATAATATTGTTCAACCTGTCAAACCTAAAATAAATTATATCAGCAGACTTGTATATTTTTGCATTTAGTTTGGCATTAAAATTGAACATCTTACTACCTTAATGAGCAAAAAATTAAAAACAATAGAGGGTACGGTAACAGGTAATGGGAAAAATCACAAAAATTGCAATAACATTTGACTCTTTAAGTTTTACAGTGTTGGGGATTATGTTGCCAATTTGTTCAGGGTTACAAATATTAAGTACCTACCCCAGCAGTTTGATTGAAATAGTTAAAGCCATTTTTGTAAAGTTCAGATGTTTTTTTGTTTTAGCGGGTTTTTATAGAAAATCACATAAAAAAAACAGGAGATATGTTGGATGGTAACCTCATGCCAAATTTCGTAAATATCAGACCACAAGCAAAAAGATAATATATCAATAAAGAGAATATCACACACATACACTTACAGGCATTACTTCAAAAACCATTTTTTTGGGGTTCAGGAGGACCCAAAACGGACATTTCCATCCTAAACTAAACTAAAAACTTTCAAGAAAACAATACTTTCTCCATAAACTATGTGTAGGAGAAGAACGTTAAAATAAAGTCATGTACCGTCCCTAAATTAGTCTTTTCATACTAAAGCCAAATTATTTATAAAAGAATCAAAAAAGAGCGATTCACCTTGAACGGTATATCCGAGTACTCCAGTAGAAACATGTGAAGCTGGGAAATACAAATGCGCAAATCTCCGTCGGTAAACTCGTACGGGATGTTGAAGCCAAGAGGTCCAAACTTACGTCGCTCCAAACAGACACCGTGGAAGAGACAAAGTGAAAACAGCATCCACTTGAACGTCTGCACTTTCGGATTCTCCGAGTTGAGAAAGTCGTGGAACTGAGGCACTTGATTGAGATAGGCTCGGAGTAAGTTAGCCTGCAAAAGAAGATTTTACAGTAGGTTCATTGTTTCCTTTCATTTATCTTGAGCTAAGTCTGGTGGTAGAGTGCAGGAATGCAGTTCTTCAAGGAAAACTTATGATACAATTCTGCATCATGGGTGCCTTGCAAAAGTATTTGCGGGAACCTAAAGATTACAGCTAAAACAGTAGAGAACGGATCAAAATAAAACTTTATAGACTTTGCAAATATTAAACATACTTTACCATCAAACAATTATCAAGTTAACAAAAACAAACTTATTTCATGTAATTTTCAAACAAAATAGAACCGTTAAACTATTTACCTACGATCGTTTTTTTAAGTAGCCGTGTTAGTTCAGTTCTTAGAATTGAAAAGTTTCTCATAACTGCATTGTTTACTTTCATGTCAGCATAGTTTTACTCATAACATTACGGGTAACGGACCAATGAGGTTCAAGGATTGAGAGAGAAGAAGTAAAATTTTAATGATTCAAACTTCAGCTAATCAGCTGTTCAGGCCAATTCAATTGTTGAATGGTGCAATTAGTGTTTAGTACAATGTCTACGCAACTCACAAAATAGTGTTGACGACACTTGTAGAAGTTTTTAAGGCACTCACCAAGGCTCGTACCATAAATTTTCTACTCCTGTCGTTAACACTATCTTTACGCAATCGTTGTGTTAACCACTATTGTATTCTGATTAAATCAAACAAATTGAAGAAACAGATTTATTAGGTCTGAAAACTGATAAACAATCATCTTGGCAAGACCATTACGATAATGCCTACTCAAAATCATCTCAGGAATATCTACATTGACCGATTGCAGTGTTTTAGTATTTTTAAAATCCATTGAGATTCGTGTCACATCACAATTTTACATTATTTCGTAAACTAAACACACCCTTTGCAATTTTCTTGGTTGATAAATGTGTACAATAAAAAAAAAATCAATTCTAAATTCCAAAGTCAAAAGGTATATTTGGTCAACTAACCTTGATGCCTCTCGGTGGTTCGACCGTCATCTTGCAGCCGTTCTGTAGGATGGCCACGGGGAATGCAGACGACGGTGAGGAGGTGAGCCACACACGGAAGTCCTTGTGACACTTGTCCGAGTTGATCGACTCTACCAGATGATCCAATCGGGGCATCCAGCTGGGGGCTAGGTGACAGTTCTGGCAACACGACAACAGAAAATGTGAAGAAGATAATCAGTAGAAGGAGATAAAAATAAGGTGAGGGTGGAGTTTTTTTATGTCCAGCCTTTCATTGTAGGATGGTAGGTTTTAGCCTGAACCATTTTACACATTAATTTAGGCTTGCCCTAGAGAATGGTGGCATTATCACTCTTAGTGTCTGAGTCTAGAAGCTAAATCCATCCAGTCGTGACGCATCATTCACCGTTTTTACCATTTTTATTCGTCTGTCACTTGTTGTAAATGCACTTTTTTATCGTATCAATGCAACGGCTTACATTGATTACTTAGGCATTGTTTAATACTTTAGGTTTTTTTTACATACCTGGAAGAAAACCCAGTTGCCCATTTCCATCGACTCCTTAAACATCTTCTCCGCCACCGGACCTTGTCCTTGCCCTAGAGATATGGACATCAGTCTCTTGCTCATCTTCATCTAAAAGAAATACAAAAGTTATAAAAACAAAGTATTTGTAATACTTCTTGTAAACTAATTTAGATTGTAAAAATAAACCGATACACCCTCTAGTAGCCCTAGTTGTTTTCACACTATTTATCTGACTGTTGTATATACAAGTGGAGCTAAACAGAATATTCAGTTTTACTCGCGTATTATTCCGGCTTTGTAGGTAACAGCCGGACACTTTTAGTCTTGTTTGTTATTGATAACTCATACCATTTGAGTAGTTATGGCTTAGAATGGACAACATCGAGATTATGCAATGTGTGGGTATTTCCATGACAGTTGTTGATACGAAAGGAGATTTCTCTGTAAATAATCCAAAACACACACACATACAGACACAAACACATAGAAATTATTTTAAAATCATGTTTTTGGGTTTAGGGGGGCCAAAATGGATATTACCACTCAAACTCAAAAATTTTGATACGTTCTCCATACACTTAGAGTGGGAGATAGTAAAGAACTGAATTGGTATTTTTTTTTACTAAACGATTGCAAAGCAAAGTCCAAACAAAACACCCACCTTATCAGCAAACTTGTACAAGTCAGCGGCTGGATCCGTCCCAGTAGAAAGGACAAACACTAACGGAGTGTTGGGTGACGACTCTTTGTACACCATCGCCAAATCAGATGTTTGCGGCTCAATGAACTTACGACCTAATCTTTCAGACACTAGATGCTGCATGGCCTGAGTCACCTGGTAAAAACACACAACGATATGAAGCTATCGTTGAATATATAACCGATAAAACAATTAGAAAAAGGTTTTTTTTTAAATTTTTATTATTGTCCAACCTTCACATCTTATTACGCTAGATTCTAGCCTGGAACTGTTTTCACACATTACTTCAGGCTAGTCCTAGAGGTACGTGGCATTATCACATACGTAAAATCCATTGGTGATTGGTAAAATTTGAACCGGGGACCTCAAGCTCCGAAGCCCTGAGCTCTACCACTAGACCAGCTCGCTCTCCAACCATTGACCAGTAAATAACTTCACTAAACAAGAAGTCGTAGCAATGCGTTGAGGAAGCAAGTTTGAAATGAATGCCTTCAATCTAGCAGTCATCTTTCATTAAATTGCGTTTTCATCACTCCTTAACAAAAGTAACTATTTTCGATATCAGCTGACATCAATGAAAGTAGTCGTTTCCCAAGCTCTAATTTAGGGCGAGGGAAAATCGAACAGCTGATTTTCCCTCGCTCTAAATTTACTTTCCCTCGCTCTCAATTAGTTCTCCATTTATTCACTACGCGCGCTAGTGTTTTGTTACGGTTTAATTTAATGATTTGAATCAGCTGTGTGTATTGTTAAACGTTGTTTTATTCTTTTATTTTGATGTTTAAACAAAATTCATTGAGAAATATACGTAGGCTAACTTTAGAATATTTTCTAATATTTTTTGGTTTTAAAAATTAATCAAAAATAGACGTAAGTTTCCTTTTAGAGGATTTTATTTTATTTTTAAGTTCAATCAAATTAATTGAGAAATAAAATCGTTGCAATATTACTGAGGTCTGCTATTCTGTGTTCTTGTATTTTTGCGTCGTGATGAAAAGTATCGTTCATAACTTGTACCGAAAGTTATTATCCGGCACTTGCTCCATCATTGCCGTCCTCGGCTTCGCCTCGTACGTGAAAATAGCTCTCACATACTCGGCTTCGCCTCGCACGTGAAATTGGGGTTCCCTGTGTTCGGCTTCGCCTTACACAAAAACTTAAGCGCGCGACGGAAAATGCCACTTTCGGTCCTAGTAATGAAATATACTATTCCACGTTCACACTTGTGTTGAAAGTGTTAATGCTGAATTGGAATTTAAACATGTGAGGGATTAAAAGTTTTTTTGAGATATGTAGATATGAGCAGACGAATAGTTGACGAATAGTCTAATTTTTAATTTACATCTGATCAGACACAAATCATATTTCCAAAACTTTGGGGGTGGAGTAAATAACAAACAAAGTTCAGATTCCTCAAATTAACGCTAGGTTGGATTAAGAATAAAATAAGCTCGTCTTTACCAATGTTTTGCCAACGTCTTTCTCAACAACTATATTATTTGAGATCTATTAACAAAACAAATTATTTGTTTCGTTAAAGCAAAAAAATACTTTCAGACGATAAAATAAAACTTTACACGTACAAATCTTACTCAATTATGCAATGTTTATAGTGACTATTGCCTATTTTTAAACAATTGCAAAATATCGGTGGCCAATTATTTAGAACTAACAGGTATATCTAACAGATACTAAAACTTGAAAACATTTCCTTCCAAAAATGAAAAAAAAAATTATAAGACAGTATTTTTTAAATCATGCCATCTGCATAACTAATTTAATTATATTTTCAATAAGTAATAAAATAATTAATTCTTATACTAAAAATATTACCTTGTCAGGTCTTAAACATTTCAATACTAGTAACTTCTGAAATTCGTCTAGTTCTCTTACTGGGAGTTCTTGCCTGGAGTAAAAAATTTGTAATGTTTAAAATGTAAAATATAAAACTATTATTACACATACTAATACTACCTACAGTTTTACTTTTCCTTTGAACACAACCGAAGTTCTGTCCGATAAAAAATTCTAATTATCTACTTGCTGTTTAGAGGAAAAGAATTTGGCTTAAGAATAAATTAGGAAGCAGAAATGTTTACACAGATAACTTACCCAAGAAATTAGTTCCACATAGTTGAAAGTAGACAAAAAGTTCACTACACAATTTTTTGTTGTCTACTCTGGTGACATATTTGTATAGTAGATGAAAGAGAGTGTGTTATTAAAACGCTTTTTGAGAAAGCAGTTCAAACTCATGTTTTGTGAATGTGCCGGGATTCGAACCCGTCCCTCTTGCACCGAAGTCCAAGACACTAACTACTAAGCTTAGCCCTTAAAGGGGGCTTCTTCAGAGTAAAGACGAAAGAGAATGACGTTAATTATGTACTAGATTTTATTCTTTGATATTGCAATTCAGATTAGAATTGTGGCAGTAATATTTTCTATTTCTGTCCTCAGAAAGGTCTTCTTACCCAAATCAAGGTTAAAAACAGATTTAATCTCACTTAAACGCCAAAATACAAAATTGTTAACTTATCAATGGACTAATTTCCACAATTTCAGGGGTGGAAAAGATTTTAAAACTTTGTAACTCCTATTAAGGAGTTTAATTAACCAACCACAACGAAGTATGGTATGGAATTGATTGAAAAGGCATGGTGTGAAAGTTATTCGAAAAGGGATAGAGTTCACCTAGCTTATCTGAGAAATTTAGAGTCCATAAAATAACACATACACAATAGAATTAAAAAATTAAAAACTTAACACTGATTTCGTCCTAAAAAAGGGCCTATTCGGAGAGTAGTCGTGTATACAAATAGTTAATAGCTGACTAAATTAGCTCAAAAATATCAAGTTACAAAGACAAGTACAAAACTTACTGATGAGGATCGGACGAGTCGAAGATTTGCTTGTAGCGAGTGACGAGCTGGGGGAACGTCTGGACAAAGTTTTGGAAGCGAGGAAGATTCTCAAGAGATAAGATCTCACTCCAGGAGCGACTGGAGAGCCAGGATGGGGCTGGGTTGACGGCTTCCTGTCAACACAATAAACAAGCTGTGTAAGTGAATGATTACAGTGCATAGCAATTCAAAGGTTGCCAGTTCGATCCTGAGAAAAAGTCAGTAGCTTTTTGTTTGTTCAAAACTGGGCCCAGCTGTCCTCGATCATTCAGTTAATAAGAGGTCCTGGTTAAAATAGCTGGTCTTACCTAGCTATTATTATATATAAACTACATCTAAGAGATCCAAAGCTTTGCAAGATTGTATATTTCATTAACTACCAATATCAAACTCAGTACAAGTCTATATAGAGTTTATAAATATAGTCTGTATGGTGGAACCTGTCCTTAAGTCTTAATGGGTGGCCAATGCGTTAAGGCTCGGACCAGTCCCAGGTAGTCAGAGGGTCTGGAGACATCATACAGATTATAGTCAACTACAGCCAACATAACCTAGCAATATATTATTCGCACAACCTGGTTATGTTCCTATGTCTTGGTTATTTTTTTCAAGTCCTTTCCTTTGAACTACTGTACCAGATATAATAAAAATTGTAATTTTAAACCAGCAACAGAAAAATACTAATCATTTATATTTTCAAACTAGGTCGAAATTCACCAAAGTCGAAAGTAAATTAAGTGAAATCCAATACAATTCTTTTTTATACTTTTCAGAGTCACTTATCCTCAACTACTACAAAAATATAATTTGCAGCCAAATATACGTTTATATATTGAAGCTTTGTTTACTTTTAACAGGGATCCTCCAGAAAGAAAGAACATCCACTCCTGGTTATCAACGAGTCCTTGGTCGAGCATGATACGAACACACAGTAAGAACGCAAACTGTAACTTGTTCTTCTCAAACAAGCTGCGGCAGACGTTGGAGAACAGACTGAACGTGAAGTAATCGTTAACGGCAGCTATCCGCTCGTCCACATCACCTGCAATGCAATGGTCAAGTAATGTAAAAAAGCATACAGGAAAATAGTTCCAAAAGTCTTTCTAGGGAAATATAAGTTACATTCAAATTCCAAAATTGTTATAACACTTCAAGACGGGATATTTTTTAACGCCTGCCGGACCATGCTACAATAATATTTCCCTAATCGTCCTTTGTTTTCGCCATAGCTGTTCAGTATTAGTATCAGATAACTACCGGTAATTAATTTAATCATTAAACTGTAGGGTGTTTTTTTGGAAACATAACCCAAATGACAAGTATTTGGAGACACTTTCTAATAAAAAAAACCTTGTATGTTTGATTCCCTGTTTTCATTACATCATTACCGATCAGCTGATATTGTTGGATAGTTAGCTATGAGGTTCAGAGTTTTTGGAATTTATTGTAAATAAGACTAAATATGATGTTTTCATATTGACACTAGTACTTGCAGGTTAGATTCGACAAACTATGCAAGCGTGAGTCTATCAATGTTGTTATAAAAATCTTCAGAACAGCTGATCTGAGAACAGATTAGCTTACTTGCTAACTTAACTTTAAAAATCTAAGAATGTACTCACTGGTCTTCTCAGTGTTGATCATGCTTCCGACAAAGATGTTGATGAACCACTCCAACGAGTATTGATACATCGGGTCCACACTGGCCAGATCGGCCAAACAGAAGAAAAGTATCTGGCCACGGTTGGCCACCGGGATGTACAAGGCTCTCGTCTTGTCTATGTCTAACTGGGTGATTTCAGCTGCTTCCACTTTTTGCTGGAAAAATAAAAAACATCTAACTGGAACAAAAATAGGTGTTTTCAAGGAGCATGAATAATTTTGGAAAATGGCTAGTACAAATCTAAGAAAAATCAGTAGCCTTAAACTGATAACAGGCTTGTTTATAAGGTTAACAACTTATAGAACCTCTTGTCCTCGACTGGTGGAAAACAACAAAGAATTACTTTGATCTCGCCAGTCTTGACTTTGGAAGCCTCAAGGGTGAGGATCAGATCGATGTTGTCGACAGGCGAGCCTTCGGACGTGGTCAGTTTGACGAGGATTCGGTCTTCAATCTCCTTCAACTCTGCCTTCATCTGAGCGCTGCTGGTGACTATGTTGGATCTCAGTTCCTCAAGGTCAGGACGTTCCTGCATCACCACTAGACCTAGTAGTTGGTCTTGCAGACCACTGGAGGCACAAGAGTAAACGTTACTTTGCAACAAAGTTGTATTGTAAATTGTAGATTTTGGTTTTTTTAACGTTATTTTTTTCTACAGATTTGCATTCTCTAAATTGTGTACGTCTGACGTCTATAAATAGTTTATTTATTAGGTACTGGAAACTTAATTTCAAAACTTTATTGGCATAAAACCACAAATTTACTCTCAATGTATTCTTCTAAAATGTATACTCTCCGTGTTGAGTCTTATTCACAATAAATTCCCATTAACACTATGCAACAATGTATATCAGCTGTTTGGCAATAAGGTAAAGAAAACAGGGATACCAACATATGAGCTTGTTTTGACATAGGCCTACAAGTGTCTCAGTTTACTAGTAATTTATATTGCGTTGAAAAAAACTGTCTGAATAACCTTACCAACTATTAAATGTTAGGTTATGTCTCAGTTTGTATGTAAATAAATTTGTATTAAACAGGATTTGGAGAGATTATACAAATTTTACTTGATAAACATAGAGGAAAAGGTTTACAACATAGAGGTGAGAAGGGTTTGTCTAGGTACATCATGGAAAAGACCCCTTTACTGCTATCACATATCCTTTAAAACCAAAGAAATGCCCTTCTAAATAACCTCAACACCAGCGTGAAGTTCACCAGATAACCTTTTAACTTGAAATGTTAGGTTATGTCACAGATCTACCCTACTCTAACTTTAAAGAGGATTTGAAGATGAGATGATTATAACACTTCAACCTGAATAACATAAAGGTAGTTAAGTCATAACGGAAAAGATCCTTGTGCTATCAAATATCCTTTAAAACCAAACAAATGTCCTTCAACTAACCTCGGCACCAGCGTGAAGTTGACCAGCAACACTTTGACAGACACCTCGGGTGTGTAGTGAGGGTTCGCCAGCCTGGTCGTCAGGTACAGTCGGAAGTGAGCGCTGAATGGGATGACCACATCACCCAGCTTAACTACTGTTTGGCCGTTCTGTACGAAGGTCGCTCTAGTCAGTATAGGGTCGAGTGCAGGGTCCAGATCGGTGCCGATGTTCTCTATCAACAACGGTTTACCGAGACGGACTGCGCCTTCCAGTGACCGCATCAAGTCTCTGTCGTTCAACTTGCAAATCGTCAGGCCTTGCGATTTACCCTGGATAAATCATGTTCTTTATAATAATTCAGTCATGGCCAAATGGAAGTTGTCGTTATCTATACATTTTTTTGTGTGTGGACAGATTACATAAGTTTATGGAACTTGTGACTTCGTTGTCTTTACTTAATACTTCTAAAATCCAAACCTATTTTTTCAGTTTTTCTCAAAGTTTGAAAGTTTAACAATTCGAAAACACAATTTTCCAATGCAAGACTATATAATGTAAAAATTTTTTGTATTTTTATCCAAACTAAAAATAAACTGAACATACATTTTAGATAAGCTAATTCCTTGTAAGCGCTAATAAAAGTCACATTGATAGAATCTAACGTGCTTGAAGTTACTATTATACTACTAGTATACTACAAAGCTCTTGAACGAACACTTTAATTTATGTGCACAGCAGAACCTTAAAAACAAGACTCTGAAATAGAAACTGTCACTTTGAAATACACTAGATTGTATACTACTTGTCAATGTTAATGCAAACCTCGATAAGAAGTCTACCTTGATAAAAAGTCTTATAATTACCATAAGAGACTTTGAGTATCAACTGTGAAAAAAATTAATCAAAACACAAAATGAAAATGGTGAAATAGTGTAAAGTTTTGTGTTTCCTGTGTCAGTTTGGACTCTTTCCCATTCAGGTAAGCCTGCTGTCCTCTCAAAAAATCCTAAAAAGCTAGGCCCTTGTGCTCTATGCTACACCCTTAACCTCAAAATGAATATAAAGTTACTAAAAATAGGATAGCGAATTTCAAATGGTCCCACCATATTCTTAACCCAGCGATTGGCTTGTCCCTGCGGGTCTATAAATAGCGGCCATCTGTTGGAATTGAACACAAGCACTGCGTTCTCCGTAGACAGTGTGTCCCGAGGTAGTCCGTCCAGCTGCCAACGTCTGATAGTCACCGGCTGACCCAGCGTAGTGACGGGCGTACACCCGTGGGTGTGGGGGACACCCGCTGTGGCCACCACTCGCACCCACTGCTCTAACAGTTGGCGGCGGTATTTGTCTGTGAACGGACCCATGTACGCCACGCAACCTACCAGTACAAAACAGATATCAGTCACTAGTTACAGAAGTAATCAGGCTTACCCAACTCTAGATGCACAAAATATTTTTAAAACTTTGTAAATATATTATTATTATATAAACATTGCTACAAATTTGGTTGGATAAATCATTTAGTAACATTTTGAATTGTCTTGTAAAAAATATTTCTAAAACTTGCAAGATTTTGTGTGCAAGATATGTAAAATGGATATCAGATTTTAATAGTATTACTTGACGAAATATTCTAAGGGGAGTGAGCTGATCAACTGGCAGGGCCAGTCTCCAAGGTCATAGGTTCAAATCCTGCCAATACCCTAAAAATATTAATCTAAGTCATGATTCCACGACTCCCTAGCCCTAGCCTGAAGTAATATGTAAGTTCGGAACTAGAGCCTATAGTGTTCCGGTTCTAGGATGTGAAGTTAAAATTAAAAAAAAATAAAATAAAAATGGTCAAGTTTGTAGGCCTATTACCTGCACTTATCAGAATGTCCCCGACCAAGGTCTCCATGTTGGCTTTGATGTCCTCGATCGTTTGTATCCACCGAGTTCTCTCGTCCGACAGTCCATTGACCAATCGGAATGCTCGGTTCAGTCTGTCCTCACACAGCTTTGAGTTTGCCTCGAGTTCGTTCTTGCGATCCATCGTTTCTTGAAGTTTCTCCTCCAGAATTGCCAAACCGTCCATAACCTAACAGAGAAATTTGTGTACAGACTCGTTGAAATATTATAAACGACAATAATATTTACATTAACTCAATATTCAATTTGGTTGTAAAGCAAACCAATTTTTATCTTTTAATTTTCAAACATTACTGTATCACATTTTCTCAATTTATTGAATGAGTTAGAACAAAAAGCTGATTGAAAAAATCAATAAAAATAACTTTATTCATATTGCAGATTGTGTACAGAATGGCGTTAGTTATTGTTATAACTAAAACAACATTCATAGAGAGGCAAAAGCAAAGTTAAAACAGCTCACTGTAACAAATTTCACAGCATAACCTCTAATATTTTCTACTTCTATGAAAAACTCACAACAAATCTTCAGTAACATTATGCCTACCTCCTTCATCTTGGCCTTGGCAACTGCGAGGACGGCCTCGGTGGCCTGTAGCTTGGCTGTGGCCACTGACAACGCAGCCTTCTTGGGAGCGACGGCTTGGTACACAAAGAAGTACTTGTAGATAGCGTGAACCCACATACACAGGGATGTGCAAGCTTTCGACACCTGTACAACAATTAGGGGTATTAATTAACATATCTATTAACTATTTATAAACAGTTTTTTTCTTCTAACTTTCATATGGTAGGATTCTAGGTTCTAGTCTCTATCCTGGAACCGTTTTGCACATTACTTCAGGATCAGCCTAGGGAGTTGCAGCATTAAATAGTTCTTCCATTACAAAACATTATACCGTTGATGGAATCCAATAAAATCATCATCATTTCCGTACAGTTTATAGTGCTTACAGTTATGATCTTCGCAGGCTGAAAGTTGGGATTCTTGATGTAAGGTTCCAACTTCTGTATGAGAGCCTCGCTCATGTTCTCTTTGTCAAAGTTGACCAGGGAAGACAAGAAGGCTCCGGGATCTCCCAGCATCAACCGTCCCGGCTCCCAGAAGTCCAGGACCTTCTCTCCCGGTCGCGATCCTGCCACCTGCAAACATCCGGAGATTTGTTGGAAAGAGAAATAAAAAATATTAGCAAACTGGTACATAAATTCTCTGATTAGCTTGACATTAAAATTGTTAATGTTCATAAAACGTCTTGGGTAATGATGGAAATTACAAATCTTGCAATAATTTTTGAAAGATGATTTTTACCGTGTTGGGGTTAAACTATTTTGTTCAAGGTGAAAAGGTATATAATAATAACACACTAAATTTCAATCAAAATTATTAAAAGCCGTTATGTTACATAACATAGTTATAACAAATTTACATAAATTTTAATAACAAATTTCACTGAAATCGGACCAAAGATGAAGTCTCTGTACAGATCCACAAGCTCACAAATATCACTTTGAAAACTAATTTTTGAGTTCAGGAGGACTCAAAATGGATATTAAAACCCAAAACTCAAAAGCAAAAATTCTGTCGGAAATAATACTTTCTCCATATACTATGTATATTAAGAGGAAAGTGATGATCCGCCTTAGGGTATTTTATTTGAACAAGCGCATTTGTTTGAAGGCATTTGCTCAATCTGTGTCAAAAAGTGCTAAAAATAAAAAATAAAAACTATCCCACTCTCACATTCTAGAACGCTATAAGCTTTAGTCCGGATCCGTTTTACTTTCATGCAAAGCCTAAACGGACACAGGAAGGCTGTGTCGACGAAGACCGAAGCCCTGCGCTCTAGAACCAGCTTGCTTCTTAAAACTTAAATAGTGAAAGTTTACTGCTAGTTTTCCTCTGACCTTGTTGGGTTTTATGTCCTTGACGATACAAATGACTTCCAGCACCAGTACAACCCCGGCCGGAGGACGCTTCAAGGCTCTCACCTCGGAGATGTCGTTCTTGTTGAGGGCCTTCAGACTGTCCTCGGCAGCCTTCAACATCGGCATTGCCTCCTCTATAACCAAAGACAATACAGACTTCCAGCACCAGTACGAACCTAGCTGGAGGACGCTTCAAGGCTCTCACCTCGGAGATGTCGATCTTATTGAGGGCCTTCAGACTGTCCTTGGAAGCCTTCAACATCGGCATTGCCTCCTCTGTAACCAAAGACAATACAGACTTCCAGCACCAGTACGAACCTAGCTGGAGGACGCTTCAAGGCTCTCACCTCGGAGATGTCGATCTTATTGAGGGCCTTCAGACTGTCCTTGGAAGCCTTCAACATCGGCATTGCCTCCTCTGTAACCAAAGACAATACAGAATTCCAGCACCAGTACGAACCTAGCTGGAGGACGCTTCAAGGCTCTCACCTCGGAGATGTCAATCTTATTGAGGGCCTTCAGACTGTCCTTGGAAGCCTTCAACATCGGCATTGCCTCCTCTGTAACCAAAGACAATACAGAATTCCAGCACCAGTACGAACCTAGCTGGAGGACGCTTCAAGGCTCTCACCTCGGAGATGTCGTTCTTGTTGAGGGCCTTCAGACTGTCCTCGGCAGCCTTCAACATCGGCATTGCCTCGTCTGTAACCAAAGACAATACAGAATTCCAGCACCAGTACGACCCCGGCCGAAGGACCCATCATGGTACCTTGAGTTTGTACTGTACGTGTAAAGCACAGAAGCATTATCGTCAAAATTGGTGATAAGATTGACATTAACTTTCTGAGTTGAGTCAGGATCAGTCTGTAGCTACGCCAACCAAACACCCCTGTTACAAGTTGTAAAAGTTAAGCAACTTATTTTTATCAATGGCACTCAGTTATTGGGAAACTCATTCTCAGCCAATAGCGTTTCAACACCAAGTTATTAACACTGACAAAAGTCAGTCACACTAATGGATTGAACGCTTTTGAGTGAACAACAAGAAGACATAACACCGATTATGTTACGTGCTCGGCAATTGGGCGGCCAAGAAAGGCAGAGGGATTGAGCAGAAAATTGTTAAGGACTTATTTTTAAACATTTGCAATTTTAGGGTAGGTGTACTTTATCGTACTTTACTTCGTTTTCTTCTAATGAAAAAGCAAGTTCTCTTATATTTTTTGACCATACAAGCCATTGATGATACAGCTGTTTTCAAATTATATTTAGGGGTTTCTATCAATGTTCCTTAATATCTTTTTGAGTATCCAAGGTAGCCTCAGCTGAGAAATACCCTCTGAATAAAATATATTTACCAAGGTCAGCTTGGGCAGAGTCTGCAATGGTTTGACATTCTTCCGCCATCTTGGCCGCGTCAACCTCCTGAGCTTCGACCTTCTGTCTCGTCTCTTCTGCGATCTCCTAAAGAAAACATATGTTCAAATCAAATGTCGAATTGCAAATTATTACAATATGAGGATCATTCTTTTGAAGAATCGGAAAACCATTTCATAAAGCTAAATTTAAAAATATTCTAAGTATAATGAATATTTATCTAGGAATAAATGGGGATTTAATTGATCCAAAGATCCATTTCCTAATAGTTCAATAGTCATTCTAGTGGTTCAATAACCATGATAGCTTAGAAATGACATGTACAGTAGACACACGCTAGTCCAGCATATCGGGACTTTGGTAGTGACGCATAATTGAAAATATATTACTTTTTGTGATGAAAATGAAAAAAACCCCTTGAGTTATATTAAGTGTATCTGATTGGTCGCTCCTGACTGGCGATCTCTGCCAATTATTTCTCCTGACATCTTTCTGTCGTTCCCGACTCTTCTGATCGCACATAGCAAATACAGGATTAAAAATTATTTCACTGTTAGACCGACGCCGTACAATTAAATATTTCACACCTTCAGATGCTGGCTTAGCGGACTTTACTGTACCGAGCAATGCAATCAGAATGTAAACTAAATGAATCTTCAACATGTAAACATAAAAAATCGCAACACAAACCCGGTCTGCTTGTATCTGTGACAACATCTCTTGTGCTACAATCTGGGCTGAGTACAGTTGCGGCTTCATAGTCTCCAACTCTGCCTGCATCACCTTCACGTCCTGCGCAGTAGTCAACAGGAAGTCCAAACCTACAACCACAACATTAATGGTACAATCATTCCTGGCACGTAATTGCACAATTTTTGTTTGGATCTAAACATAGTTTGTTATGTTGTTGAATTTTTCATCTCTTTCACCAAATCACGCAAATAAGTCAAGTATAATCATGTCTCTTTTTAGTGCTTGAAGGTTGGGCCATCATGGTTAGAATCTGAAAGCTTCCCAACAATGATGTTTGATAGTTAGTAATCTAAGTACCTACAAAGATAACTAATGTTCTTAATTTTGAATAAAAATAAGTTCATGCACTCCTATATTTAAGAGACGGACAAAAAATTAAAAATAGCTGAAAAGAGAACACTTTTTTCAACAACTACTAATAAAACATTAGAAAAACACCAACCAAGGACCTGGAGGAAACCCTGATAACCTTACAAAAAGACAGGTTTTAATATGGCGGAAATATTTCAGATAAATACTAATCAATTTTTTTACATTGTACAGTAGACTCCCTCTTATCCGGACACCTTTTAACCGGAAATCGGTTTAACCGGACTACACTCGTCGAAAATGACATCTCTTTAACCGGACAATTTTTATCAGCTCATTGGTTTAACCGGACTAGATCGGCAGGAAGTGGGCGGTACTGAAGCGACTGTTCTCGTGGGAAAGATTTGAGACCAGTGATCACATGTCTAAATACAATGCCCTCCTAAATTTAAGTCAAATATCACCGTAAACGGTCCGTTTTAACGAGTTTTTGGGGACGTCGGTTTAACCGGAAAAACCGTTATCCGGACTGACCTCGGTCCCGAGGAGTCCGGATAAGAGGGAGTCTACTGTACTATTATCTGAGAAAATATTTAAATATTTGATTTTTACTAAAATTTAAAGAATATTTTCAAATGACTATAAATCAAAAATAAAACTTTAAGGAATCAGGTAGAACAATTAAAAATCTATAATTACACAACAGTATTAACAAATCCCAATATATTAGAAAGTGTTGAAGAGCCAATTAACGCTTGCCTGTTTGTAGACGCAGAATGCTCTGAATCATCTCTGCCTTTCGGTTGGTCAACATTGTAGCAAAACTCTGCAGCAACTCCAGGTATGATGTCGGAGTTACATAGTTGTACCTGGACAACTCCTGAAATAGACGAACACTTCATGTAGCTATTTGTGTATTAAGAGTGCAAAGTACGTCATTGCCGCTCGACAACAGATGCAATAACACACAAGATTTTTCCTACCACCACAATTAACTTAACATAACACACAGATTTACCTAGTTGTACTGGTATATAAAATGTCATTTAGGTTATGTTTGCTTTTTAGGTTATGTTATTTGCTTAACGGTAGTTAAAGTACCTGATCCGCGGCTGTGATTGGTGTAGAAATGCCACCAGTGAAATCACTAAAATCAGCTGATTAGCTCTGAGGCGTAAATGATCCATTCTCACTCTAGAGCGTAAATGAATTATTTTGCATACTGTTTACAGGTGTGGCAATGTGATAATTTCCATGCAGTGATAGGAAAAGAAACTAACCCTACTGCTGAAGTTTTACATCATAGTCATCCCGCTAGAGATGGGAAGTAATAGTCAGGAACGCTTTTTCTTTTAGGTAAAAGGTGAAATTATACTTTTATTTTATCTCCTATTACTTCCTCGATTATATTAAAACTAACAGAAAAACTAAGTAGGTAACATTCCTGACTATTATTGTAAAGGGTTTTTTTGCATCTCTTGGTGTCATCTTTTAGGTATCAACCTCAGCTCTGGGTCGTATTTCAAACTTACAACGTAACGAAAGCTTTGTTTTATATCGTGATGGAAAATGACCGCAAGTATCTATTAAATTACCTACCTAAGATGTCTCAATCTAACCTGCAGGTAAAGTTCGCTGGCAGTGACAACACTTTGATGCATGTATTGAAAGGTGCGGACGATTCCCCCCTGCACTTCCTTAGACACCTCCAGTTGCGGCAAATCTTCCATGAACCTCTCCGCTACACTCTGGAAATGGTACAAAACATTCTCAGAACTAAAATGCAAGTACAAACTAGCCTACAACGCATCTAATAAAACAGGTATTTTACATTTTTGTTTGTATAGACAGACCAATTAAAAATAAACATTACCTTATTATAGGAAAACATATGACGTTTGTAAGTTAGGTCTCACCTGTAAAGCAGAGTCAGGCCAAGCAGTGAACCAGTCGATTGTGCAGCAGTTGACTAAAGCAGGAAATTGACGTAGTCTCGCACGGAACACCTCGCCAATTGGGCTGGAATCAAGGAGTAAAGCTATATACACACATTTAGGGATCGGAAAGTAAAATAGTATACAATCCAATGTATTCATAGTTAGATTAAATTAGTAGAGAGATAAGCCGGGTAATATGAGACGCAGACGACACAATGCAACACACGGCAGAAAGCTTTCCTTACGGCACCTAAACTGAGGCACGTGTTTGTGTCTGCAACATCCATGTGCTGACAAGTCACAGTTTGTAGCACAGACACAGATTTATGCAGTACGCCACGTATCTCGGGTGCAAAGTGGCAAAAACGAGCATAAGATTAAGTTGGTGCACACATTGTCAAAGAAATTAAGATTCAAAATGTTTTTAAACATGTGACATGTATATTTATTCTATTCAGACTAGGTACAGAAACCTCATAGTGATGACGCAATGCAGGTTGCTTCGCACAGACTTGAGGTAGGCAGACATGAGATTAGACTTGGTAGCCGCCAGCCCCGCCTCAGTCACAGGCCCCCGCATTGTCTGGTAGATCTTGTCCAAGTCTTCCGGAGCGTAGATGTTTGGGACATCCCCTGAGTTCAGGATGTTGTTCAGGTCTTCCAGAAATGACTCTTTTTTTATCTAGTTCAACATAGATTCAACATAGAATATCATACAAAAGTATTGTACTTTTGTTTAAATAAAAGTACTAATATTTATTGAGGTTACTATACAATTTTTACGGCCATTGTTAAAAACTAATTGACAATGACATCTTGGAAACCCAAAATGGATTTCATATAGATTCATTTCTTTATTAATAGAAATCCCAGCGTTTATTATTTTTTCTAAATTTTAGAAAAAGTAAGAACACTCTTAGTTTTAACATTACCTGAGTATCTGAAAACAAAAAGACAGTTTCCTTGTTGTAAAGACCAGCTCGCAGCATGAGTCCTTTGATGTCCTCCTTCCACTCAGAACTTCCGTAAGTTTTGCTCAGTTCTATCTGAAAACAAGTGGACTCCGCCATGTATGTCGCCAGCCGCGTCAAACTTTGCCTTCCTACGGCACAACACAGTCAGTCATTGAATATTATTCTCTCGCTTACATGCTTAGTGTTTTGTACTTGTTTTTTTTTTTATAAAATTATGTCCTCAATTTTGAAATGTGCTTAAAAATATCTTTGGCCAAACTTTTGAAGATGTTTTAGGATTAAAACAATTAAAAAATCCACTACCTTTATGACAGAGGAGTAAGGTACTTTAATACTTTCTTATTAAATGGCGACCATACAAAGTAGGTATTTTAAGCCAAGTATGAATGGAGATGAGTGTAGCATGAGTGGCGCGATCTTGTAGTCTTGTTAGTGACTAAGACCGACATTCCTTAGACACAGCTGTTAATTAATAGCCCATACAGCTAATGGCAACTAAAGGACCTACAGTTTATAGTGGAATCCGAACCACATTTTTGACTTGGTATATATGAATTGGTCTAATTATCACAAAGGATACACACAGGAACTACTGTGCGCTTTCAGCTCTAAAGCTCGGCCGCTTAGAAAACGACCTGCGCGCTAATGCTAAACCAATGCTGGAGGAGGTCGTTTTCTAAGCGGCCGAACTATAGTATGTTGGGCGGAAATATACTTGTGACGAGCAAGGAAAAGCCCGAGCAGTCAGCATTGTGTCAAAATTCCTCTAGCACAGGGTACATGGTCTTCCTCCATTATGAGCGTAGTACGTGAGGGAGAGGGGAGCGGTTTTGGACATTACCGTAGACACCAGCGACTAGTGCAACACACCACTTAAGCGAAATTGAATGTTTCCTCTGTACCTTACTTCTTTGTATAGGCAAAAATAAATTCATCCAAGATTTGGATCACTCACCAGATCCGCCCATTCCGAGAAGCAGAGCGTTGCCTTGAGGCTGCCGTATTATCCTGGAGATCCGACAAACATGAGCTACTGCGTCGCTGAACAACACCAGTCTCATGGGAGACGTGCTTTGGTCGTTGTAGTCCTGCAGGTAGTCTTGTAGAGTCAGGAACAGCTGAAAATAGTTACGTTTAGATGAGTAATTGTATATTTCAGCGGTTACTTGAATGTACAACTGTTTCTTGTATGCGGAACTAATTTGTGATCATGTAGGCATTCGTGGGGGTAGATTGCCCATTTTTTTACAGAAATATAAATAATTTTTTATCTACACATGATGCCAGCCATAATGCAGCTTTCATGGTGGGTTTCACCCTACTTCCAATGCTCAATTGCCAAAACTAATTAGTTAATATTTTTTACGCTAACACATGAAGATTTTCAATCTAATAACACAGCCTGAAGAGATTTTGTGAATGTGAAAAATCTGCGATTCTGGCTGTAATTACTTGTGATCAGCCGTTAAACTAATGCTATTAATATTGCCTACATTTTTTTAGAATAACTTAAAAACCTAAAACTGCTGGCCTAATCTATGATTTGGAGGATTATTCATTATTTAGTCCAACGGATAATAATAATTTTCTTATTCAACTTAGTAACAAAAAAATTGAACACCGTAGTCAAAAACGTAACATTAAACCTACTAACAGATGGATAAATTACAACAAAAAAATGTTAACTCACGTATAAATTGCAAAAAGCTTTGAGAAATTATATAATTTAGTTTTACGGTAACTGAAAGAAAAATGTATAATTGATATCTTTGCTTGAAGTATATTCACAAGGGTTACAGAGGAATCAACTAGTGCCACTTTGTGATTTAGTCAACAATTATGTTTTTTAAATTTCCTTACTGCTGCCTTAGTTCAACATTTTCCTAGTTTTTTCGACCCACAAACATTATCATCCACTTACCTTCTGGCTATCGGTAATCCGCTGATACAACTTCACGTCAGCGCCTTTGTTCATGAAGTCACCGTAAAGCAGTTCCTCCTCGGTTTGCAGCACTTGGTCAGCTGTCAGATTAAACTGAGAATTTACAGTGTCCCGCAGAAGTTGCGAGAACCATTCTCTGTCCTTGTCATTCACCAGACGGTCTCGGAACACTCGGGTGTTCTCGTGATACCAGATCCGCACAAGGTCTTCTGCACGCTGAACACCATAACGCAATAAATTAATTATATAACACTAGATAGGGACGCCGACTAGGTGTGTATTTTAACGCATGAGTGAATGATGAGTGTAGAATGTGAGATGATCTGTGTAGCTTTGTTACTGACTAAGATCAGTTGTTTAATTAGTCAGGACCATTTGTTTAAAGCCCGATGGTTAGGAACAGCTGGGTCAAGTATCGAACCATCAAAAAGCTATGGTCTGTTCAAGAAGCAGCTGAAAACATGGCTTCCGGACCGACCTTCTTCTCAGCTGGTGAGTTCCTGAATAACGAGATAACTTAAAAAAAATGTAACTTAATTAATTGTCATTTATAAATGTTCTCTAGGAATATTTCATTAAAGAATTTCTCTATTACACTTTTTATTTATTATTTAATTTTATATTTTTGAGTTTGAATTATGGTTTAAATATCCGTTTTTGGCCACCCTGAACCCAAAAATTGGTTTTCAAAGTTATGTCTGTGTATGGATGTGTAAAGAGCTACATACTACACCTGTGGTCTGATTTAGTTGAAATTTTGTACAAACAATTTTTTCCAATTTCAATTTGTAATGGTGTTTTCCCCATAAAATTTCATTAAATAATGGAGTGAAAAATCACGATTCAAAAGTTAATACAACTATTGTGATCTTAACCATCAAATACAATAGTTACTCCCACTGCTTACCCATTATAAGGCGTTGTTGACAAGCTAATGGGAGAAAGAATGTTTCATATTGCTGATACCCTTTATTTTGCTAGTTGTTTGATACTAATACTGGAGCTGGTTGTTTAACACTGTAGCTACGATAACTCAATGTTTTAAATTTCATGAAGGATTGGTTTGATATTTTATCTCTTATCCTGGGGTTTGAGACTGTTACCTGTATCTCGGCGGGGGCGACCATGAGCATCCCCTGGAACACATGGCTGAGGTCTCGCAGGTTGAAGGTGTAATGTGTCTTGGCGGGGGTCGGCAGCAGTTCCCTAACCACCGTAATGTACACAGCTAGTGTTGCGGCCAGAGTAGGCTCCAGTAGATGGGTCTGACCCTGGGTCTGGTCCAGCCACCACCGCAAGATCGTCCCGAAGATGCAACGCTGAGAGGAAAATATCAAGAGTGCAAGAGAACTATATAAACGGCTAATATTCAGACTCTAAAAATGTTAGGGGAGGGAAATATTTAAAACAATACATTTGTCGCGATTACGTATAATAACAAGTTAAGCTTATTTATAGCAAAAGAAATTTTACCAAACGTTACCTTGCTGTCATCTTGCATCTCGGGAAAAGCGAGGTAGTTGAAGTGTCGCAGCAGTCTCGCAGTGACAGGGTTGCGACCACCTCCTGGAGGACCCATCGCGCAGACAAAGTTGACGTCAACAATCAAACGGAACTCTCCGATGCTCTTACGATCATACCAGCCTGCAAACAGGAGCTGAGGACTGATGAACCAGTAGCAATATCACAGATAATTGAGATGTATTTTTTTTAGAGAAAGGAGATCAAAAATTATTTTACTCAGACAATTGGCCAGCCTGTAGTGTGAAACTCCTGATCTTATCAGACTACTCACTAAAAAAAGGCCCCTCTACTCTGTTGGACACAGACCTGAAATTGTTTGTCACATTACTTCAGGTCAGGTCAACGTTAAAAAAGTCCTCAGGGCTCGTTTTGTTTTTGGCATTCAATTTCTTTATGACCTAGACTACTATCATAGTATGTTTATGTTCATGTGATATTTTTTTTAAGTTTGAATATTTTAGCGAATTTCCCATATAGGGAATAAGCTATTACCGTAGGTCTCATGGTAAGACCTAGATCCGGGACCGATTTACTTTTTCGTTTTGAGGTCCCCAGAGGCCAAAAACACCATACGTTCAAATTCATATATATATATATATTTATATATGTGTCCGTTAGCGCGATAACTCGAGCAAAATTGATCCGATATTGATGAAATTTGGTACAAACGTGTAAACCTACATTTATTCGAACGAGTTCGCGAACCAGCATAATCGGATCATGGGATCAGGGGTTTATGGGGGGTTTTATGGGGTAAAAATGGGTTTTTCTCATTTTTGACCCTAAAAACTTTAAATTTCTAAATTTCTCTCTAGACCATTTTGAAGAGCTTAATACCCCCGCCGCAGCAAACCTGCAGACTAAGCGAATTTTCATTTCCCTGAATGGATTTACACAAAAATGTCTCCTTAAAAATATCACATTTATTCCCTATTTAAATAGAATCAGTTTAAAACATACTTAGGTTTGCTGCAACAGGGAGGGTAAAAGTGTTTTTTATGTAAAATGTTAATAGTTAGTAAGAAATAAAAACATTTTCCAAATTTGGGCAAAATATGATTATAAACAAGCAAACTACAACAGTTTACTTATTCTCCATAAGAATAACATGGGAATTTTAAATTTACAATTTTTTTGAATTTTCTCCATAACCATTAGGCGCATTATAACGCTTCAATATACTAAATTATTTGTTTTTTTAAGCTCTACAAAATAGTTTAGAAAGAAATTGCAAAATTTTATGTTTTTTGGGTCAAAAATGGGAAAAACCCATTTTTACCCCATAAAAGCCCCCATAAACCCCCGTTCCCATGGTCCGATCATGCTGGTTCGCGAACTCGTTCGAATAAACGTAGGTTTACACATTTGTACCAAATTTCATCAAAATCGGATCATTTTTGCTCGAGTTATCGCGCTAACGGACACATATATATATATATATATATATATATATATATATATATATAGATATGTACATGGATGTTAAGTGGACAAAATTTATATACAAAGCTGTTAGGAGGACAATTGCTGTCCTCTTATTAATAAGAAGACAGTCCTCTTAACATCCTTGTATATAACATTTTGTGTCCTTATAACAGCCTTGTGTATGGCAAAAAAGGCATACCAATACACTTGTAGGAAAATGAATTTCCCAACTAAATCCCATACATTTTAAATGGGTCTGTCCCCTGAACAGCCGTGTGTATAAATTCCAAATATGTGTCCTCATAACGGATTTGTGCTTACCAAAATATCCTGTGTTTTTATAAACAAATTGTTGTATTTAATATTTTATCTAATTAACTATACAGCACGATGTGTAACTCACTCACTGATCAGGTATACAAGTGTTTGGGCACTTCTAGACGGGCTAGGAAGTAGAAATTTGGCACGATGACAGGTCTCTGCCCCAAACCATGAGGAAAATTCACAAAAGTAACAATTTCGCATTTCAACATCCCCCCACAAAAAAGTATGTGTTTCTTGAAACGTCTGTTGCGGCATGTATTAAAATTTTACAATTATTTTTACGCTGCATTATTGTTTTTGATCAAAAGCTGGAACCGACGTAGTAGGCCTGTATATTAACCGCTTTGCCGTACCTCTTACCGTTTCCGAGACCACTCTTACCGTTATCACCTGGGGACCGAGCTTTGCTCGAAGAAAGTCATTAGTATACTCTGAGAGCAGAGTTTTGTCACTGCCGTTCATCCAAATCAAATGTTGCAGTCTATTTGCAGCCAATTAAAATTGGCTAAAAATAAAGTTATAAAAAGTCCTCATAACTTTAGAACGGATCAAGATTTTTAGAAACTAATTGCGGCATTGTAATCAGCGTAAAATTCTAGTTTGAAACAATGGGTCACAACCCTACCTTTACATTTGAAAAAAAACTTTGTATCCAATAATGGCGGATCCAAGATTGCGCCCAAAAATGTATACCCAGTCAAAACGAAGTACTTACTGCACTACAATTATCTGACGTGGTCCGAAGTTGATATCTTAAAAAATGTAGAAAAAAGTAGGGCGGGGGAACTCATTTAAAACTCACCCTGTATTATTAAAAACATTTGGGTTTTCTTTTCCGAAATTTGTTTGGCTCTTCTACCCGACCGATTTTCATTATTTAGGTCTCAAATTGAAGGTATGCACGCACAGATTTCACATCAAGTATCAGCATATATATATATCTACATTCCTACTCGGCTTATACGTAAACGAAATTTGCTCCCCATATATTTCTTATGGGAGTACAATTTGGTTTTTCTTTTCCGAGTTAGTTTGGCTCTTCTACCCGACCGATTTTCATGATTTAGGTCTCAAATTGAAGGTATGTACGCACAGATTTCCCATCAAGCATCGGCATATATCTATCTACAGTCCCACTCGGCTTATACGTAGGCGAAATTTGCTCCCCATGTATTTCTTAAGGGAGTTAAACCTGGTTTTCTTTTCCGGGTTCGTTTGGCTCTTCTACCCGACCGATTTTCATGATCGAGGCCTCAAATTGAAGGTAAGCACAAACAAACTTCCTATCAAACATCGGCATATATTTTTCTGCAGTCTCACTCGGCTTATATGTAAACGAAATTTGCTCGTAAAAGTTTAATTATTTTTTGGATATGATATTTATTTCAACGCTGCGGAGCAGCATGGGTCGGGGTAGCGGATTTCTACCCCCGGATATTTACCCCCATGAAAAAACGCCTACGTCATTTTGACGTCACGAAGGGTGGGGCCTATACACGGTCGAGAAATAGCCCGCGACTGGAATTTTACCCCCAATATATTAATAAATAATCAACATGTAATTGTTTGATTATAAAGTGATTTGCCACAGCAAGGAAATCTACCCCCGGACATTTACCCCCGGATATCTACCCCCGGAAATCTACCCCCGGACAACTACCCCCAGACATATACCCCCGGACATCTACCCCCGGACATCTACCCCCAGACATCTACCCCCGGACATCTACCCCCGGAAATCAACGGCTCTTCGGTTAAGCATTGTCTTGTAATATCCAGTATAAAGCATGCGATATGTCATTGTCTTGTTTACCATTATCTATCTTCCTAATTCAATAATCTGTAACAGTCCTTTTCCACCCGACCTACTTCAACGATTGTTACGATTGAGGTGTCATATTAAAGCTTAAGATCTTGCGCAGAGCAAAATGGTCATTAAAAAGGATATTTTGATTAGAGCTTCAAAAGGTTGACCCCTAAGCCTTTGATTTATTTCTAGAAGGTGCTTCCAATGGTTGACCAACTTTCACACTACACAGTAACAGTTTTAAAGGTGAAATGTGAGCAGATTACTAATCAGTTCAATTTTTAAGTCAGGTTGAAAACCAGAATAGATCGTCTGCAACTGTAAACAAGAGATGGAACACTACCCCAAAACGACTTTTCGTTGTCAATTGGCCCTCTATCAATGACCTGTGTTGCCTGTACAGCGAGGCATTTTGAGAAGGAGAAAATCGGCCGGATGAATGCTTTAGGTTTATCAATAACGAAGATAAACATGGTTTTAGTTACACACCAGTAATCTTTGAGTTGACTCTTTTAAACTCATTGTAAATATCCATTGTTATTAGTTTTTAAATAACTCCTTTAATACTTTGCAATTGCTCGAATTCGAGCAACATGTACACTAGTTACATATAATTGCACTTACGATTTATTTGATCCGTTTATTTACGTGAGTCACAACGTTTTTAATCTTACTTGGTTTTGGATTTTATTACAAAACGTGATCGGAAATGGTTGTAGTATTTGTAAACAAAATGTAATAACAAATTTCCAGTGACAGCTAGAAAAAATCATCTTTATCCAGCTTTTCATCTTTCACAGCTGTTCGTTATTTCATAGATGTCGTATTCTCCAAACAAATTATTAGTATTTCATAAATTACTGGCAAACATTAGGAGTAGTCTAAACTTGACAAAAATTCAAAAAAATTGGGGGTTTGGACAAAATTTATTTTAATTCAAAAGTAATGAGGCCATATTTTAATGGCTTAGTTATTCGTGTCAATCCACCGAATAAAAAAAAAACTATTTAAATCGAATCACGATCGATGCTCTAGTTTTTGAGGAGAAGGCCACGTAAAATGCCTTCTGGGCCTTGACAGACAAGACAGAAATTGAGATAAAGACTTGTTTTGGCTTCTTTAATGTATGAAACGTAAAAATGACCAAAAAATATATAATTTTAAGCAATGTTCATACTAAACTCTAATTTCATTAAAATAAATTCTTAAAACCAAAAGAACCATGAGGTAAAAATACCTTCCCTATCCCGAAATATCCAATTTTATTCTTTTACATTTATTCTCCGTTATTTCACAACCAGCATTGACAACCAGAACCAATCATACAATATGTTAATGTTTTATTTTTTACGATTAATTATTTGTGTAAACAACTACACTTTTTAGCCAATGTAAAACTCCGGATAGTGTCTACGACATAGGGATCATGCTATTTCGTATTACTAGGAGGTAATTGATAGTGAAAAAATTATTAATTCATTAATCAACCTGTGGTAGGCTTTTTATCAACATTTAATTGCATTTTTTACCACTAGTAATCAGAAAATAACCTCCTTCAGTGATC